GTTACATAAATATCCAAGCCCTTGAACAATTGATATATAATAAATGTGATTTTTTTCCCTTAACATTCTTGGCAAACAGCCTGACAATGGTTCATTCGGTCTCTAATAGTCATCTATAATGAATATTCTAATTTATTCAAAGTCACATTCAGGATTCAACTTTTTTTGACAACACGAAGCAGCAATTGTATCATTTGAATAGGAGTTGGAAGAGAGTCTTACTATATACACATGTTTGGTCTCCTGTCATGGACTTTTTCCAGGATGATCTATAGCAGCTATAGTCTACTTGTAGTTGTTGGATCATGTTACCAAAAAAGTTTGTTTGATAAGTGCCAAGACCGGTTCTGCAATGCCACCCAGACTTATATCCAAGAGCCTGCAGCTCGGTCTTATCTGCACTACTGTTGTTGTTAATGTGAACACAATCTAGTTTAGCGTGGAGGAGGCTGAGCACCGCTGAACATGAATAGAAGTTTTGTGTAAATTTGCTTATTTGGAAATACCAGTTTGTATTGTCAATCTATTGACAGTTTTTGCTCTTTTTTTTTTTATAGTTGTAGATCTTTTCTCATTTAAGTTTTGTCTTAAAATTAAAATATTCTAGACATTTTTCCTATAGTTTGCTTTCTCTTTCAGTGATGGACTGCTTTAGCTTGTCCTTGCTACATTCACATAATATACAAAGAGACGCATTTGTTTGGACAGAGAGGTGATCAGGTACATTTTGAACGTTTGGAAGAAGAACAATAAGCCTCTGCAGTTAGAGTCCCCAAGGCAAGCTCCAATGACAAACAGTCAGGGTAAGCTGATATGGAACCTCACAATATTACCTGCTCAAAATGCAAAGAAATAATAGAAAATATAGATTTTCTCCACTAACTTTAGAAAAAAAAATCCTTTTTAACTTTCCATGACAGAGAAACTGGTTTGCTGAGTAATATGTAAATCTCTCACAGGAAGATACGCTTCCTTGTGAGACCACAACATGTGCGCTTAGTAAAGAGAAAATGAAGCGACCGGTAAAACTCCCTCTGACGTTATCAGTGAGGCAGGGAGGGATTTTTTTAAGATTCAAATCCAAACAGACATCAAGTTACACCTGCCTGTATGGGCCGGTAGATAGAGTGGATAAACGGACACATTTCAAACAATACCACCACAACACTTCTTTCTTTATATACAAGAATAACAATACAAAGACACAACACTACATAGAATCAGGGCTTTATAGGAAACGTTTCTGTTGCACCAGATGACAAGCCTGTGCATGCTATTCATTTCTGTAAACTTAACTGGTGTGTGTTTATATTTTATGTTATATTCATTTAGTTGAATCTTTCATGTACCTCGGAGTGAAAGTTATTTACAGTAAATGTGTCACATAGTTTAATATTTGGGGAAAAATCGTATTCGCTTTCTTGCTGAGAGTTAGATGAGAAGACTGATACCACTCTCGTGTGTACATTAAATATGCACCTGGAGCCAGCAGCTGGTTAGGCTAGCTTTGCATAAATATTGGAAACAAGGGAAGTAAGAAAACACACTATGTTTGACAGATTAATATGAAACAGTGGCAATCTTCACATCTAACTCAACAAGAAAGAGTAGAATTGTATTTCCCAGAAGGAACTTTTCCTTTAATTGACCTCACAAAACCTCTGAGTGTGTCATGATTATGTTTTCACGTGTGAGTAGATTTGAATGTGTGAATGTGTGTGTGTATGGGTGCATGTGCACTGCAAGTGGTAAAAAGGCAACTCCCAATCTCAGTAGGGATCCGATCCCTCCTCTTGCAAGAAAACATGAGGGTCCAACACCCAAAATACCTTAAGCTTATTTCACGCATCCACCATTTAGGTAACTGAGAACCACAAGAAATACACAAAACACACAAAAAATAAAAATAAAATCAGCAGTAAAAGGAAAGGAAACAGGAGTTCAGCATTTATTCCATTTATTTCTGGGTGATTTTTTAATTTTTAAAACATCCACCACATCCACAAATACTAGAGTTTAAATCACAAAAGTAAATGTGCAATTACAGCCCTATTGTAAACAGGGGTAATTAACAGTCCACACCTCTGGCTTAAGAGAGCCTCACTGTGTTTTTGACCTGCCAAACCTCCACACTACCTATGATTTACACTCAGAGGGGCTGCTGGTTTATGAGGCCTATTCAGAAGCCCTGAGGTGTCACTCCCGGTCACTCCCAGGTTTTCTCCTCTGCCTGGTTCCTGGCTGTTTCGCACCTCCAGGAGGGACTATTATCCTGTCAGAGGGCCACTCTTCACAGCAGCATAATGCTTCGCCCCGTGAAAATCACACCCTTCTGCTTGTTTTGTTGGCCTGCGGAGGATGGAGTTCACACACAGGTCTGACCGGGAGATGCAGATGGTCATCGAGAATTAGAATGGATGGAAAAAACAAGGCCTGGAGGGGAAACACAGGCTGAGTGGTGGTGAAATCAAGGGCTCTGAACTTTAAACTCTGGGCAACAGAGACCCATTAAACTTTCAACAGTGTTGTTATAGATTAGCTGCAAGCAGGAAGCTTTTTAAGCAGGAGAACCTTTTGCTCCTGGCAAAAACTAATGAACACATCCATTAAGTTTATATCCTCCTCACTTGACTATATTTATATAGCAATTTATTTCAACTTTAATATAACACAGTGCTTTACAGGAAGCACAGGGCACATATGATCCTTACTTACACCACATTGCTTCTTGGATAGGGTGTTATTCAAAAGTACTTTGACATTATTAGTGAGTTAACACTAGAACAGCAACTGTGTTCATTTTGAATTTATATGTGCAATAACTTTATTGAATTTAAAAAATCTGATGCTACTGATACCTGACTTAGTTTTTTATTTTAGATGTTTTATTTATTACACAAAAGGTAAACAAATGTGACCCTTTATACCTATTATTGCCAAATGCGATCACATTGACCTCACAGAATTTCTGCATATATTGTTACTTGTTTGCAATGCATCTTGGTTGCTTAGCAACTATAACAGTCTCTCTGTCTAATAAACTTTGCAAGTGGTGTTTACCTACGTTACAATACAAATAAATAAGAAAAAACGTCATAACGATGGCCTATGAATGCTGAATGTATGCTAAGCCTGTCTATGTGAGGAAGATGAAGTAGGGGAGACTAGGGATGGTTGTTACATTTGTGGTCCCCATAACCCACTGAATGTTTTGTGTTAGAGCTCTAAAATTTGGACACAAAGTATAATTACTTATGTACCTATAAATAGCGATTTCCCACTTTCTTTTATTTTTTGCATAATTAAAAAAATACCCCAAAATGACAAAGATAACAAATAATATACTGTGCAGGACGAAGCAGAAAACCCAGTGGGCTTATTTTGGACCCTCCAACTAAATACTGTTAACATTTTACAGTTATAGAGCACAAAATTAACATAAAGTAATATGACTAGGTTAATTGAAAGTGATACTAATAACAAAACTAGTAAAAAAACATAAAAGTATTTTATTATTGTTTTTTTGGTTCTATAGCCAACACACAAGTCACCCTCATCCGCCTCCTTTGTCTTTTTAATTTCTTCTACTCCCTGCAGTACCACATATATTTCCCGCAGACCCAGAGGAGACATTTAGGCATCAAGCTCCCTTTTCTCATTATGATCATCAAGAACCTGAAGAAGTATTTCACCTTTGAAATACAGGTAAGGTAGGCAGATACAGTGCCCTTCCATGTCTTGGCAGTATAAACAAACAAATGTTTCCTCATGCAGTATTTGGGAAGCTATCAATTACTCCACGCTGGAGGAAGTTGGACTATAGCAAGGGTACCCGGAGGAGAAATCTAATTTGGTTAACTAAAGCTACTTTGAACTAGAAAAACTAGTTCAAACTACTATAACAAATTTCAAAATTTCAAAATATAACACAAAATTACATGTCACTAAAAAATGCCACTCAATTGAGTTTTTTGCAAACAAGTGCATAAACCAAAAGATTTTTTTTTTTTTTAAATCACATTATTCATGGGGAAAGTGTTCTAGTGTAACACAACACAACACAACACTGGACGGTTTGTCAGTGGAGTCAGTTTCATGTATTTGCATAAGAATGGCTATAGTGATTGTTCCTCAGAGATTCAGGAGTTTTATCCGTCATGGCGCTGTCACTGTGTGAGCACTGAACAGTAGTTAAACTACTGGTTTAATTACACGTAGTTCACCACACCCCAACACTGTACTCATGTGTGTAACAGGATATTTTGGGTTTCTTCAAGCGATTCAAGCGCTTCTACTGTTAAAAAATAAACGTATTAGAAATTATGTGTTTTGTTGCTTAGTTAAATGGTAACAATTGGGATAATTATTATTACAATAACAATTTAACAAAGTAGGTCAGTAGTTATATTCTTTAACACTTTATTAAACCTTCTAACCACAAGTTAATGGCTTATTAGTAAACTGCTAGTAGTGTAATTCCACTGCAACAAGCTCGTTCTGAAGGCGAGCCTACACTGTCATTGTTGTGAGTGAGGTAACCTTGAATAACATTTCTGAAAACAGGTCTGGTGTATCAAGTCACAAGTAAGTTGACAACTGGCGTACATGTGACCAGTTGCCTCTAGGAGATGATGGTATATGTAGTTAAGAGGAAGTGAAAATATATTTGAGGAAGAAGGTGTGGATGTTTAGTTATAAACATGTACTGTAAATACAGCACATATAGCACTACACAAGTCTTTTGTAAAGTTTGCTTATGTAATTGACACTGTGGACAAAGAATAGGATATATTGTCTGTACATCTAAAGTGCTCCTGTCTGAACTGATTAATTTATCTAATTCCCAAACATTAGTATATGATTAGATCAGTATATAAAGCTTGAGTAAGTGTGGTGCTGCCCCCTACTGTGGAAGGAAAGAAAAGCTCCTTAAAAACATTAACCCCCCCCAAACATACACCGTCAGCCAGTGTTGGCCAATCATTTAGAAAGAATATAGATTTTGTTGTAATGATGTTTTATTAAAATGTTCATTATCAAAAATACAGTGTGTGAATGCTTATAAAATACAGAAACTGGCATAACGAGATAATTCAAATCTAAATACATAAATACGTTTTCTGTAAAAAGCTAAATTGTTAAAGGTAGTTTTTATCTTTTAATACAGTGTCAGTTAAAATGTTTGGCTCTCTGGGTTTAAACAAGTAGTCTAAGACCAGTGCTATTTTTAAAGTTATTCAAGTAACTAAACAACAAAGTACAACATAAAGTCATTATGACACAAATACTGGTCTTTAAAATGGAGCAGCACTTCTTTTATATTCAACAGATTACATTCACATCGTGTGTGAGTATCATAAGGGTGAGAAAAGGAGAAAAATCATGAAAAAGTACATCGAATAAAATCAAGACGTACCGAAATAAAACAAAAACTACCTGCTTTCATCCACTGAAAAGATTACTTAAATAAAGACAAATTAACAGCATACTACATGACCAGAAACATTGTTAATGTGCAACTCGTGTGTTGTCAGCACTTTGAAAGAATTTCTTGACAGCTTTTGTAAACTTTCACCAAGCAATTCAGCCTTGGCTTTGAACTCTGAAAAAAAGAGGAAAGGAGGTTAATTAGAAATAAGGTTACTGTGAATAACACTGAATAACAGTTGCTTTATGAGATATGCAGACACCTTGCATTCAACCTCACCTGAAACAATGGCACAACACTTGACACTACATCTGGCTCTGAGGGGTCCTTCAACAGCACACAAAGGTAGTAGATGATTTGATGCTGAAATAAAAGCATTAGACATCAATCAACTCATTCTAACAAAAGCATTAACTGACGTAAGTGTAGTATGAATAATGTTATGCAACGTGTAAATTTGCACAAAAAAGTGACAGAGGCATGAATTCACCATGTAAATAGCTTCATTGATGACAATATCCTTGATCTTGCTCTGCTCAATGAATGTGGTGGTCTCACGGCCGGACGCATAGCTGGAGGACACCTGAATGCCTAAGGAGCCGATGACGAGCAGAGACTCATGGTCTACCTTCACAAAGTGGATGTGAAGCATCATGCCAACCAGGGTGACGAGGATAGCACAGGTCAGAACGGCTGTGTTCTGCAAGAGAAGTAAGACGTTCATATGCAGGTTCAGTGTAATACATTCATATGAAACATCATATCCCACTCGATAACACAAAATAATATTCTGAAATATATCTATATCTGAAAATATCAATTTAAATGTACAGATCATAGGATCAAGATTTTGTCCACTAGAAGTATCTTGGTCTGGTGGAAGAAGTATTCAGATCGTTTACTTAAGTTAAAGTAGCATCACTACGGTATTAAAATATTCCTAAGTAAGAGTAAAAATACTATTAGCATCAAAATATACTTAAAGTACCAAAACTAAAAGTACTCATTGTGCACAATGGCCCATTTCAGAATGACATTAAGGATTAAGGTTCATTTATTAGTTGATTTATATTTTGCATTAACGATCTGAATCTTCAAAGTAACTTGAAATTATAACTGGGAAATAAATATAGTGGGGTAACAGTATTACAATGGTGTGGAGTGGAAGTATAAAGTGGCATGAAATGGAAACACTCAAGTATAGAAAAGGACAGAAAATGCGTACTTAACTACAGTACTTGAGTAAATGTATTTTGTTTAGCTCTTATAGCTACTGGAGCTGGACAATACTGACAAAAAGCAAACAATCCCAAAAATCTGACTGAATGTCTCAACATCAGTAATGTAACAATACGACTGTTCATGCTCTCATACAGTAAGTACTCTGGAATGGGGTGTATAATATGGACAAGTTAAGATAATGTGATATGAAAGCACACTTTGAATAATGGATACATTACTTTTACTGTATATAGTTAGAGGTACAGGACTAACCCTGTACTGCTGCCGAGAGTAAAAAGACTGAACAGTAGAGACACGTTTTAGATCTACTCATTATTTAGCACACTGATCCAGCCAGGGATGAGTGCTGTAAGGTCCAGAGCTGCCACAGCTGTCTCTTACCTCTGTAAAGAAGAACACAGTGTATGCCAGTAGCCAAACCCCGGAGGTGTACACCATCACCTTGCCGATGGACACTTTGGAGGAGCTGACAGTGAACTCCCTGCAAAAGCCCGAGTGGTTCTGACAGTCCAGAGATATGGATTTGCCATTAATGTCAGTGAATGCTTCGTCTTCCATCATGGACGCAACAAAGTCGAGGAGAGTCGACGGGAAATGAACATAAAGTGAACTCTCGTAAACACAAACAGTTAGCTTAGCTAGCTAACGCTGGAGACAGGTTAGCATTGAGCTATGTGTGAACGGGCAAGGTCAGCCGCTTAGAAGACGTCCAGCGTACAGCGGTGCTTCTAAAGACGGAAAAGGGGAAACTATGAATCCATACAGATGATGCTAAGTCTGTCCAGTTAAATATAAAGTTAGATAAAAACGTCCGTAACGGGGGAAAACACAGATTATTCCCAGGACAAGTAGACTGATGGCTAAATAAATTCTCACATTGGCTGCACTCGTTTCTGACACCGGGTTGTCGCGGTTGGTGGGTGAGTGTAGCTAAAATAAAGACAACGCGTGGGCTCTGTCGATCCGCGTGCTTCACAACAATCAGACCGGCATTTAAATATTAAATACACTTAATCAATAAACATATTAGCAGCCGCAGTTGGTGTGTTGTAATATCAGCTGCTGTCTCCGTCTGACTGTAAGTTTCGGTGTACGCCGGTTAGCAATCGAAGTTGACCCTACAGCAGCTGGAAGGAGCAAAGCATTATGGGAAACGGTTAGTGACTTGTCGTTACCACCTGTCCATTGTGTAAGGAAGCAGGTAGCTGCTGTCAAACAACGTCGGAAGTATGAGTTAGTATATGTTAATATAAAACCGAAGACAATAGTTCATAAATAAAATAAGAACGCGGATTTAACTGACGTCTTTTTGAGGCGGGTCCCAAATCCTCCATTTCCCACAATGCATTGTGTGTATATGACTTTTGACCTCTGGATAAAAACAAGCCGATCAGCTGGTGTAAAAGCAACAACATCTACAGGAGTCTGACACAAAATAGCTCCGCTTGCTAACTTTTTCACCAACGCTAGCTGCATGCGGCGGTCGGCGGTCGACAGTGTACGTGTCCACTTTTAGACTGTGATGAGGCAGCACTTTAGTTAACGAGTCGTCGTCCGTCGGACTGGTAGCCACTGCTAGGTCAGTCGACTGATACGAAGGTTGTTTGTTTCTTCAGAAGTGTGTCTCTTTGTGTCGTTAACGCTAGATACACTTATTATTAGAGTTTCAGGTCGCATTTCTTCGACATTATGACGGCCTACTGAACAGCAACTTAGCTGAGCATTATACTGGCAGCTAATGTTAGCTAGCACAAACTGTTGTGCCAAAACAAGTAGTTTGCTCAGTAATTGCTGGTCTGGACAAGGTTTTTTTTTTAAATTGCTGCCTGGACGTGCTTTGCTCCAGACTGAATGTCCTCATTAAAAGTAAGGAGTATTTAAATAAAGTTCTTCAGTTGAACATTTCACAATACTTTCTGACAGCATTGCACATGAGTGATTGGTTATTTGGAGAATTTGAACACAAAAGGTTACATCACAACTGGTCATAGAGGTCTTCTTAAACTTTGTGTCATTGCTTTTGTCCAAGTTAAATACTAAGTCACTCTCAGTACCTGTCAGGTTTGACATGAGTGGTCAAGGTCCAGCTGTAGATAAAGGAATGAACACAGTCCTGGGCTGTCAGGAGAGCTACGCCTGCGGGGGTTCAGATGAGGCTGCGTTTGAATGTGATGAATGCGGCAGCTTGCAGTGTGCCCGATGTGAACTGGAGCTCCATCGCCAGGAGCGGATGAGGAATCACGACAGGGTTCGGATTGCACCAGGCCACGTTCCTTTCTGTGACTCGTGTAAAGGGGACAGCAGCTGCTCTGTCAACGGTGGACGGCTCAGAGCAGTGGTGCGCTGCCAGGGTTGTAAGATCAACCTGTGTTTGGACTGCCAGAAACGCACCCACAGTGGAGTCAACAAGAGGAAGCACCCTCTGACACCTTACCCCCCTGCCAAAGCTCCCCAGGATAACAGCTTGACTGCTGGGGAGTCCCAGATGGAGATCCTGAAAGCCGAGCTGGAGAAGGTGTGCAGCTTCCTTTTGGTGGACGAGAAGGAGGAGATGCAGGTAAACGCTTGAGAGCGTGTTTTAATCTTTTAAAGCTTCATTGATGTGATGTCGTGAGAATGGGGCTGATCTTGTGTGGATTCTCAGGTGAAGGATGAGGAGGACTTTGTGAGCAGACTGGGCTGCAGGCCAGATGAGCTCCTCAAGGTGGTCTCCATCTTCGGAAACACCGGGGAGGGCAAGTCCCACACCCTGAACCATACATTTTTCCTCGGACGACAAGTGTTCAAGACCTCGCCTACCCAAGAGTCCTGCACCGTGGGTGTGTGGGCAGCTATGGACCCTGTGCACCGGGTGGTAGTCATCGACACGGAAGGACTGCTTGGGGCTGGTATGGAAAAACTATGGATTTGCTTATTATCGTGAAATAAACAGAGGTGGTGGGTGAGGGGTTGTTTTCTGAATTAACACCCAATTAACATCTGTTGTCGCTCATCAGGAGCCAATCAGGGTCAGCGCACCCGGCTGCTCCTCAAAGTCCTGGCTATCTCTGATGTGGTCATCTACCGAACCCATGCTGACCGTCTCCATGACGATCTCTTCAAGTTTCTTGGTGATGCATCAGATGCCTACCTGAAGCATTTCACCAGGGAGCTGAAAGCGACTACCACCCGCTGTGGTCTGGACGTCCCATTGTCCACTCTGGGTCCCGCAGTGATCATCTTCCATGAGACCGTCCACACCAAGTTACTAGGATCAGGTACATGAAATAAGTCTACCTCTTTTATTCTTTGGGCTGTGCTTTGTAGGAATTTAGTGAGCAAGACTGCCTCTGACTCCATTTTGTTCTCCATCTCTAGACAAACCGTCTGAATCTGCCGAGCGTCTTCTCCAGGAGCGTTTCAGGAAGCTGGGTCTGTTCCCAGAAGCATTCAGCTCCATCCAGTACCGTGGAACTCGGACCTACAACCCTCCCACAGACTTCAGTGGTCTGCTGCGCAGCCTGGAGCAACAGCTGGATAACAACACCACCCGCTCGCCACGCTCTGCCAGCGTCATCTACAAGGCTCTGCAGGTAGGGAAGCTTGATTGAATGAAGAAAGAAATATTTTTGGATAACAGAATTAGCCAGAATTACTCACAGTGAATCGTTATTGACTCTTCCTGTCCCTCCTTCTCCTCCTGGCTCCTTCCTTCAGGCCCTGAGCGAGAGCTTCAGTGGGGATATTCCAGATGAGCACATGGCCAGTAACTCATTTTTTCCAGATGAGTACTTTACCTGCTCGAGTCTCTGCCTCAGCTGTGGGTACGTGCATCTCTCCTCGCTGCAACACTTGCAGTTCATAACAAAAAGTAGAAACTAGAGTCGGTGAGACTACAAAACAAACATGACGGAAAAGGTGTCATAACTCTACATTCTCAGACGTCATAGCAGCGCTCTGAGGCACAATGAAGGAGCTTCTCACAGTCACACACACATAGCTGCTTAGTTGTTCTCAGTAAGTTACAATGAAATTGACTGAGCATTTGATAGAAGGACAAGTATTGCATTTGTAATTTTCCTCTCATGGATCTATAATGGTAAATAATATAATTGTTTAATGACTAGGTAATGCAACAGTATTTTTTAAAATTATGATTGATAATGTTTGTTAAAAGTCACCCTTAAAGAATCAACGATAAACAATCCCTTAAATACTTCAAACAAATAGAATCTGGCCTTTGTCTCTGACTTGGTGTGCTCCCACTTTCAGCTCAGGCTGTAAGAAAAGCATGAATCACCTAAAGGAAGGACTTGACCACGAAGCCAAGCATCGCTGCCGCTACTCTGCACAGTATGACAACCGCATCTACACTTGCAAGGTAAGTACAAAGTCCAAAATGACACTCGTGCATGTGTTGAACTTTTGCTTGCTCTGCGAGGTTCTGAGTGTCTGTGCTGAACTTCTCAGGCCTGCTATGAAGGAGGAAAGGAGGTGATAGTGGTTCCCAAAACAACGGCCTCGTCTGACTCACCGTGGTTTGGCTTGGCCATCTACGCCTGGTCTGGGTGAGTCCAGATGCCACCAAACTATTTGAAAGAGGATGGGAAATGGGAAAGCACAGTGTGATCAACTGGCTTGTTAAATTGGAACCATTTGCCCGTTCACAATAGCAGAAATATAACAAAGACAAATGTATTGCAGCTCAGCAACACAGACCAAGAGGCAATATAATCCCTGTGATACTGGGACTGAGCTCTTTTTTAAAATCTTTGTCCAGGTATGTGATTGAGTGCCCCAACTGTGCAGTGATCTACAGAAGCAGGCAGTACTGGTACGGAAACCAGGACCCAGTGGAAACCGTTGTCAGAACAGAGATCCAACACATCTGGCCTGGGGTAAGGCCAACAGCCTAAATGAGATTCTGCCCAAACCAATTAAACAAAGTAGCAAGCCAAGATGTTAAAGGATTTAAGTTGAATTAATGTTGTCATGTCCACTGTGAGCTTCATTTACAGTATAGGCTTGCAAGTTGGTTGCCAAGGTGCCTGGGAAACTAATACAAAATGTATTTTTTTTTGTGACTTTTTTCATGTTAACATGTAGATCTAAGTATATGAGTATAGAGGTGTAAATGCCAAACATAAATCGTGCTGTATGTCAGCTGTGCTACTGCCTATTTGCAATTCATTGTGATAATAATGACTCACACTTGTATAAACATGTACATTTAGATATTCAACAAAATATCTATATATAATATAACAATATATACAGTATGTACAAGAGAAGGTCTGTCAGCTAGTTTATTTGTATCTTTACTCTGTTGTTCTCTTCTTGGTTTCTTTACAGTCTGATGGTTTTTTGAAGGACAACAACAACGCCGCCCAGAGGTTGCTGGATGGAGTCAAATACATTTCTCAATCAGTGTCCGAACTCAGCGTCAAGCCTGCCAAAGCTGTCACCTCCTGGCTTACCGACCAGATTGCTCCTACCTACTGGAAACCCAACTCCCTTATCCTGGTACTTAACTAAAAACTGGATTGATAAAAATGTCCACATTGTTAAGAGAAAACATACCTCCAAAACCTTTTGAAAGGAATTGTATATACATTGCGACAACTGATAGTAGAATTGCACGTCATCCTCATTGTGTGTGTTGCAGAAATGCCATAAATGTGGGGAAGAGTTCCAGCCCAACGACACCAAGCACCACTGTCGTGCCTGTGGCGAGGGCTTCTGTGATTCCTGTTCCTCAAAAACCCGGCCGGTCCCGGAGAGGGGCTGGGGCCTCGCGCCTGTCAGAGTCTGCGACGCCTGTTTCCACAACAGGGGAATCCCAACTGGTAAATCCTTCTTAACGTTTAATGTGACGTAAGCTTTAATGTTTTTCTGGGGTGTGAGTGCCTGATTTCATGTGTGTGTGTTTCCCTGTTGCAGAGTTGCTGGATGCCGCCTTGGAGGAGGAGGGTGGCACCCTGATAGCCAGGAAGGTTGGGGAGGCGGTTCAGAACACGTTAGGAGCTGTCGTTGGTGCCATCGACATACCTCTCGGTCTGCATTAGATCTGTCTACACTATCAAAACAATGCAGATAAACAGCACTTCTCACTTTAAAGTACCTCTTTTTTCAAGTATTGTTTATCAGTGAAAACAGTTGATGATACTGTTAAATATGGCAGAAGAGTATGGTCCCTATGTGTCACTATTACCCTCAATAGGTCCATTTGGAGAGCATTTATGAGGTCACTTGATGATTATACTTCATCAGAATGATGATTGGCTGCATGTAGGACATTCAGACCAGTTATCACGATTAAGTCAAGTAAATGACTATACAATGATTATTTTCTAAATTAATCGACATCCATATATGTCTTGTTCTATCCGAACAGTTAAAAATTCAAATGTATTCAGTTAACAGTCATGGACCTGAAAATTTTGCCATTTTGCTTAAGAAGTTTCTTATGAATAATCACTTGTCAGAATGTTTTGTCGACTAATCGATTAATTAATTAACTAATCATTTCAGCCATAAATGGTCCACTCCACCACAATTCTTGATTTTAATGTTTTAATGTTGATGCTGATCTTTCAGTCCTAATGCAAAGCTAGTGCTGATTCTTCACAATGTCACAAATTGTCAGTGATCAGTAATCACAGTAGTCACGTTACCAACTGCTGCTTCCTCTCCTCTGCGTCCAGGCCTGGTGAAGGACGCAGCTCGCCCGGCATACTGGGTCCCAGATCAGGACATCCACTCCTGCAGCGAGTGCCAGCGGGAGTTCTCCCCGCGTCTCTCCATCCACCACTGTCGCGCCTGCGGCCAGGGTGTGTGTGACGACTGCTCTCAGGAGCGACGCGCAGTGCCCTCTCGCGGCTGGGACCACCCAGTGAGGGTCTGCAATGGCTGCAACCAGAAACCTGGGGAACTCTAGCAGGACGAGGAGCAGGAGTCGGAGAGGGAACGGTTACGGACACCAGTCTCTCCATGAAAACTGGAATTGACAACATTTTGACTGAAAGACTTTAGTTCTTTGTTGTCTTTTTTGTGGCATTTCTTGGCTGCCACTAGACTGTCTGTGGCAGGTTGGACTCTTGTCTTGGACTGTTGTTTTTTTATCGGTCACTTCAGTCCCTTGATGCTATTTTACTTTAATATGCCTACATTTTACACTGTGAACAATACCAGTCGGAGCGACTTGAATACCATGAAGTTAGGAGAGATGAAACAACTGGTTTTATGAAAGTATTGTATGTGCTTGCTTACAATTGAGTTCAGGTCAATTTCCATGTATCCTTTAAAATTTGTAATGATGTACATGAAACCCTGACCCCCTTTGACAATCGCCTCCAGTGTTACACACTAGTATTGTTAGCACCTTTTGTAGTCCGGGGTTATGTGTGTAGACCATTTATTAACAGAAGTTCTGACTGAGCATCTTAAACTGAATACAGGTAAGCACTTTTATTGTAAGATTGTCTCTGCAGCAGCCCTGGATATAACTCAGGGCTGGCTTTAGGGGAAATGGTGGAAAACCTTAAGAATTCTGATGCTCTTTGGAATGATGTACAGTAGTTTCCCTCTGCTTCTACCCTGCAAGCTTTAGCTTTCCAGCCAGTCTTTGGCTTCAGAAAGGGTTTAAACAATCAGAAGCCAATGATGTACTGTAACACCAAGATGCATTCCAACTTATATAATTACTTAGTAATAACTACCTACATAATCCCATGATCCTTTTTAGTTGTTTGTGCATTTTGGGCAGATGATTATAGAACAGCCTTAATAATGCTGTCCACATGGACTGTTAAAGTTTTAGAATATACATATATGGGAAAAAAAGTTTACTTTAATAGGGAATATTTTAAATGGCCTCATTTTTGTTTTTAAAATGTCAAAACTACTATCTATTCATGAGACAAATCTGACTGCAGTGGGATGAAATACAACAGAAACTGCTTTTATAGAGTGGCTGGCTCACAGTAGCAATATGGTACAGAAAAGACTTCAAACCACCTTTTGAGGCTGGCCCCTCAAAAACAGGAGATAACTAGAAGAGTAATCCATTACTCTTGTCAACTCAGGCTGTGTAGCTAGTTTGCTAGGAGCACCAAGTGAGCAATGTTTGGGGTTGCTTTTATTGCAACAAAACTGTAACTGACAATTATCTGATAAATAGAACATATAATGCAGTTAGGCTTTCTACTGAACACTGGCATTGTGAGATCTAACTGCAGTGATGGTTAACCTGGGAGGTTTCTTTCAGTAACTGACAGGGAGAGTTGGCTCTGATGTCAACAAAAAAAGCTAAAATCATAACCTGAATCATCTCATCAGTGTCTCTATCTCAGAGAGACGTTCAACAAATATCACAAGGAACAAATCAATACCTTTATGTTCATGTATGCTCATACAGTATGTATTAAACTGCAGAAACGTAGTCTTTGTGTGTGTGTGTTATTTAGGAGCAAATACATTGCAACAGATCACCATTTTGTCATTCAATGACAATTAGAAAATGTGTTGATTTACAGTATACAGTATAAAGTCCCTTTCGAATTCAGATCAGAGGCATCCTAAATTACATTAGAAATTAAAGTCATCAATCATGCCATAAGTGCACTTTTTGTAAAGGTTACAGAAAGCACTATTTATTCTGTAGTAATTGTGTGCACTGTGTACTGTATTTAGCACTTCTATTTCCTTTTGGCACAAACAGTCAAAAATAACATTCCCCTGAGACTTCAATGCAACTCTTCTGAGCTCATCTTCCCAATCAAAGGTTCGGTACAACTTTGTGGAAATGAACTACATACTGGCCAATCCCTTTCAATTATAAAATACCAATAGATTTTGTATATGATTATAACCCCCATTCATACATTTGACAAAACAAATGCGGTGTCCTTGTTTTCAGAAATTTGTGAGATGAAGCATTTTCAGTCTTTCTCTAAAAGCCAGCCTGCTGCTTTCCTCCTTCCTGGTAGTCGGTGTTGTATGGGAAGTAGTAAAGGTCGTGTTTGACGGCCATGAGCAGGCCGGGGAGCCCCCTGCAGCCGCCCAACTTGGAGGAGAAAACGACGCTCGGGATCAGGTCGTTTGCGGTCGGGTGCGGTGATGGAATAGTCCTCAGTAGGTGGCCATCTTTTAGGCTCCATAATCTTGTGTAGCAATCCTGACCAACTAAGGACGGCACAGCAGATGGAAAAGGAAATGAGAGTTGGAGAGCACCTTGGCAGAGAGCTTGTGTCAACTTACACTCAAGTATATCAGTGCATAGTAACTATAACCCAGGTATCTCTTTAATTGAATCAGTTTAACACTGAAAACCAAATTGATAGAGCATGTTTGGTTCTCTCCTACCTGCCAACAAAAGCCCCTCAGGCTCATTGACGTGGATGGGAAGGTAGGCATGTTCATTATAGTGCCCTTTGTACTCCTGTACTGGCTTTGTCACCCGAACATCCCACAACTTAATCTGCAGAGAAATGAAGGAAACGCACAAAGTTTAAGCAATAACAGCATCTATATGGGTTCATATTTATATCTTCTGAAGAATCCCAGTATAATTTGGGTAATATAAGACTATTACTCATATTCAGTTGTGTGGGTTAATGGCTGTTAAGTATAACAGCTTTGTAAAGAGTTACTCAGGGGTTATGAGTTCAAGGTTAACCCAGTGGTATCTTTCTCTCTCTCCTTTTTATCACTTTGTTGGTCATCAAAGTTTGCACCTGGACAATAGCTTCAAAAATACAATGCTGTGTATTATTCTAACCAAAATGTTGTTCCGGGTTTTCAAAAGCCTACTTGCCCTGAAGGGCCAAACATGTGGTAGCTGCATCTCAGGACTAACATACTACTAACATGTAACCCACTGTTTAAATCTCATTTTCAGCCCAATAACCTGACCTGGCCCAGCATGTCAGCAGCAAGCAGGTAGTTCTCATCCTGCAGGACGCGTACGGAGGTGATGGCTGACTCTTGATGGAAGCGGCTGGCCTTCCAGCTTTGATCCCGGCGGCCGCGCTGCCGCAGGTCAATGCTGAAGATCTCCCCTGAACGACATCCATTGAACAGCACCGGGACCTAGGACGAAGGGAGGTACTTTACTTTCTTGGCCTCTCTTTTCTTTCTTACATTGTCCTTAGTTACATTTAAAAAGAACTCCAAAATACAGCATGTATAAGAGAACTCAAACATGCTTTAGTCATGAAAATGATGATGACTTACCCTAAGGGCAAACTGCTGAGCCAAGACATCACTGCCAGTGCTGTATGTCTGCGTTCGGCCCGTCTCTGCATCTTTCACTATCACCCTACGAGACAGGCCTGCAAACACATGTGAGAAGACAATTACTTTAGATATATACATTTGTGAACAGGAAATGTTTTAATGCAAATTTAAATGGACATAAAAAATGTCCAACAGCCGCCCAAACCAATTAAGTAAAATTTAAGAGACTGTTTAACACCCCAAAACGAAAGCTAAGCCAACACACGACTCCATAGAGGCCAAAGATAATAATTATCAGTCTATTATTGATAATGAACATCATATTTTGCAAGACAGTAGCAAGACAAATAATGACGGCTGGACAGACCTGTGCTGAACGTCTTGTCAAACTGGGGGTTGAGACACCAAGCACAAGACCAGGCTGAGGATATCTTAAAGCTACACAGCATCCCGGGCTGGTCTGAGGAGAGAGAAAGACAGGGGGAGAAGAGAAATGTTAAAATGGGGAAGGTAAACAAACAAATCTTGTTAAGAAACTGCAATTTAATTTACTTAATAATAAAATCTAGTTATCTAATGTGATTGTCTTAAATTGTGTGAAAACCCTGGAGGAGATTCTACCTGGGTTGGAGTTGCTGAAGAGGGAAGCAGGAAGTAAACTGACACAGCCAGGGGTGTCCGCCACTCCTACCAGACACAGCCTGACAGTTCGCACACGTCAAGAAAAATGCCGGCAAGCAGTACATGAGTTTTATGACATGCAGATTGACTAGAGAAGCACTTCTAAACCTCAGGAAGGATACAAGACGTGGGAGTCTGGGTAGTTGACTGAGGCCCAGCATATGGAATTTACCTGAAACACATTTTACCAGAGCAGAGCAGTCACAAACACATTTCCAACATTTACATTTTTTACTGACAATTCTTCAAGCTATACAATCCGTAAAATGTGGGGTAGAACGTGGGCACATAAAATGTCTACATGTTCATGAGTCACGGGCTCCGGCTCCTGTGAAACACTCCCACCTTGCGGTTGGTGAAGTAGAGGTTGTCACACATTTCCACGGACAGAGATCCCCTGCTGCTGCTGCTGAAGTTCATGATGCCGTACTTGCAGCCTCCGTGCGACACATCATTGACAGTAAACACTCGCTCACAAGCCGAGTCCCCCTGGGAGAGACGAGGAAGATGGAGGCTTGAGTTTAAGGAGGGGCTCTAAATTATGTCGCAACGTGTGTTTCTACAGTGCCTCTATGACGACTGTCTGCAATGTAAGGCATCAGAGTGTTTTGTGTGTTCTCACCACTATGAGTCTGAAGTTGTCGGTGTTGGGGTTGCTGTTGTCCGTGCTCTGGATCTCTAGTTTGTGGCGTCTCATTCCACTGACCTTAACCTCATGAACCAGCCTGGGGGGGGACACACAGTAACCATGGTAACACCGACTAGAACCACCTGCAGACAATTGACTTGACCAGAATAATTTACTGGTCTCCTCTCAGCTATCTGACAATGTGTATTTAATGATAGAAATGTTTGACAATAGGATGAATGTAAATCATTTGGGTTACTCTTGCAACTGTATGTGAATAAAATTAATATAATTCAAACTGACAGGCAGCACAATGTTGCTACATTTTAGCATGTTTTGTTTCTTTTTCTGAATATTTTGAAACCCATGTCAAAATGTATTAGCATCCTTATTAGTGGCCGGCAAGGCTCCAAAGAAAACTCGCTCTACACATACAGAACTGATTATCCTTAGACTTTGTTTCGCTGGGATTGTTTTCTGTAATGTATTACAGCTGTGGGTGTTGTAATGTGTATAGGACAGAGGGAGAAAAGGGCTGTGTCCATGTATGCCTGTGCACACAGCAGTATAACAGTACCTGCAATAGGAGTTCTCTGGTAACAGGCCAAGGTGTCTTTTCTGCAGCAGCAGTGAAGTGTTCAGTCCCGTTCTTGGTGCTTTCTATGAAGAAGATATAAATGTCCCATCGTTAAACAAGCATGACACCCACATAGTGTGTGTGCATGTCAAAGACCTCATTCCAAGCTTAGTAATGCCAAGTTTGTGTGGCAGAGCAATAAGGTATTATGATAGATTTCAGTAGACTGATTGTCTGTGATGTTGACAAAAACAAGTCTCTGTAATCATTGTATAATAGACGATAAATAAAACTATATTTCATCTGCTGAAATAAACCACATGTAAAGGTCTTCTTGCCTCATCTTTGGTGTGTTGCTCTACACATAATTCTCACACACTGTCCTCTGAGGGTTGAAAGGCCATTACAACAAACAAACACCAAAAGAAAGTTTTAAATTATTTCCCCTCACAACAGACTCACTTTTCTGGGCTTTTCATCCTCCGCGAGCATCTTGTTTCTCTGTTTCTCTCTTTCCTTCTCCTGCAGCTGCTCTCTGGTCAGTGGGTTACAGTTGTTGTGTCCCGGCAACAGGCGGAAGTAACGATTTTTCTCGGGGTCAAAATAGAAACCAGGCAGCTCTGGGAACAGAACAGGTGGTAAAATTAAGCACAAACATGTTTTTGTTCCTGCTTTTCACCTTACATCCCTCGTGATCTCGTTTCCAGCAGGAACAACCAGATTTTGTGATTTCTGATTTAATCTCCATGTGGGAAACTGATATCAGTATTCAAGAATCTATACCTATATCTTTATCATTTAATTATGGAGACAGCTGGTGTCTGGTACTGACCTGGTGCAGCACTACTGGCCTTGGAGGAGGAGGAAGAGGAAGTCGAGGAGGACGTGGAAGGGGAGGACGTGGAAGAGGAGGACTGGTTTTCATATCCCCTCTGAGATGTTCTTAATGATGGCCCTGCATCATTATGTCCAGACCTGTGTGACAGAACCCCACTCCATATGAATCCAAATACAACTGTCAGGTACATCACAAACACTGTCTGTGCTGGGCAGTACTGACTAAGACAAAGTACCTCGAATGTGTGTCCATATGTCGCTCGTCCTGTGTTGATCTTTGCCGGTTGCCTCTGTACCAGCCGTGGCGTTGACCAGCACCTTGTCGCCGGTACGGTCGCTGCCCTTCTCGCCAGTTCCACTTCTTCATCCCCCGCTTGTTTGAGCACCACAATACGAATCCTCACACCACGTTGTCTTTCATTCGCGGCCGTGTGTCCGAGAGTGTGAGGCTAATTGCTGTAGCATGTTTACTTGTTAGCTAAGTTAGCAAGTAGTAATCGTTAGCATACTTGAGCTAACATTGGCTACACACCTTCTGCATTCTGGTTGCTGGACACTAAAGACGAGCAAACATAAAAGGAGGTTTTGAGAGGTCGATTAACACACCTTCCGCTGAAGGCAAACCGCCTTTTACTTTGTTAATAAACTGATACAACGTTACAGTTTTTTTTACTCCTCATGAGCTAACTAATGTACAGTCAGTTCCTGCCGTGTTGTCCCGCCTCCGAAGACCATTCATTGGTTAAGCGCTGACAATAGTGAATGACGTGGCAGGCATTAATTGGTTGTTTTCTTGGGGCACGTATCAGCCACACATTAGAATAATAATGTAGTAATTTATATTACCGTTTTTAATTTGATTGTTTTTAAAACTATATTACCAACAAAGAAAGTGCGCATTTCATTGTATCCTCTATTCATTTTGAAATATAAATAATTAAAGATGTCTTTGTATAACAGGCTGTTGGATTATTGTCCAAACAGCCAAAATCAAAACCCCTAACATAACCCAAACAACAGAGCTCATGATATTTGATATGCTTATTTCAAACTGTGATATTTTTACTATAATAAAGACGAATGGATTTAATTTCACGAATGTACTACTACTCTGAGGACTGGGACATTGATTTTGACAGATTTCTCTGAAGCCACGCCTAATGTCTTGATGCTGGTGTTGTATTGGTAGGACGCACAGTGCCCAGGACCGCATTGGCTGTTGTGTTTTTTTCATAAGGGTCCCAAACTACACCGAGATTTGGAATATTACGGTACAGTCCAGCAGGAAAATGGCGACTGTCATTCATAATCCTCTGAAATCGTAAGTAAATTTCTTTTAAATAAAAATAAAAAAAAATAGATTATTGCATGGTTTGATTGCATGTGGTGATGCGCACAGGATTCATACAGGGTTAAACGCGCGTTAAAGTAACAATCACAAAATTAACACATTTGCCATTTAGGCTACTCGGACAGTCTCCGTGTGTGTGTTGTCTGCAGGTATCGTTGCTTACTAGCTCTGTCGTGTAATACTAATATATAAAAGCCTGCGCTCATGCACAATGTGCAGAGAAAACATCTCCAACACGCGCGTAAACGTCCGCGCGTACGCTCGTGCTCTTGGTTTCACTTAGACAGAAAGTTGCCATTGTCCACGTTATGCTTTATTAAACACGGTGGACAGAAGTTTGCATGCAGGGCTCTTTGTCAGTGCTGGACGGGTGAATTTGCATAGATAATTTCATGCAATTAATGTCACAAAGCGCACATTGAGAGGGGCGACCCTCCCGCATTGCGCGGCTCGTGCTTTTGCTGCGACTGTTAAATGCATGTCCACAATGCATAGGAGATTATTATATGTTATAATACAGTATTAACCTCCTTTCATGCATGTATAGGAAACCTGCAATGTATTATGGGGCGTGCAGTTTCCCTGAAGTTTTGGATTTTAAAACTGATCACTTAACGGTGCCAGTGCCTCATCTTTCTTATCGGGGCATTCACAGCAGATTTGTAGGAACATCATCAATATGTTACCTTTGAGAGAATATGCAAAAATGGCCTAATGTTATACACAGTATGAATGTAATGAGCACGGATGTGTTCGTTTTTAAACCATCTAGATAGACTCCTTCACCCCCCCCTCTCCCAGCTCTTCATGAAGTGCCCCCATAACTTTCAGCTCAGTGTATAATGCTGAATGCATGTCTGTCTTCCTGCTGGCTGACAGCAGATGTTTACCACTGGTCATGTGGAATGTGCAGAGAGTTGGACAGCTATCACAAAATCTGTTGTGCAAGAGGTCATATCAGTGTTTCAAACAGAGCATGTTTTGGCAGGAATAAAAGAAACTTTACACAGTTTGATCGGGTGCTGTGGATAAACCAGACATAAACCATCTAGTTGCTTTCTTGAAATAATACAGTATGTCCACCTATAATCTTGTTGGAAGTGTATAAAGAAGTCTTCATCGGTTGTAACCAGCTGTACATCCCCCATTTTTTGTGCTTATTATAAACATTTTCTGTATTAATAGTCATACAAAAGGAAAGGAGGATGAGAGTACTTGTGATGCTCTTGCTTTGTAGGGCTTTGTTGACAACCAGAAATATCTCACTGTACACCCAGCACTTAAAAAAATGCTCTAAGCTTCTGTATTCTACTAAAACAGATTAGGCTGTAGAGAATGTAGGTATATGTTTGTTTTGTGTGTGTGTGTGTGTGTGTGTGTGTGTGTGTGTGTGTGTGTGTGTGTGTGTGTGTGTGTCTGCAGTTGTGCATGTAGAGCAGCAGATTAGTGTCCCAGTATTCTCCTGGGTCCATCTGTTGAGAGAGAGAGAGATACATGTAAAGGCAGACAAGCTGATGATGGGGCAGTGGAAGAGATGGAGGGAGGGATCCCCACCCCCCCATCCTATCCAGTATCTGCAAAAATGGAAAACAATGCGTCTATGTGTAGGCAGAGGAGGACTCCACCTACCAAAACAAACCCCCATACCTAATGCAAGAGGAAGCTGTATAAAAATGCATGAAATGATCACGTAGGAGTGTAAGAGCAAATATCAAGTAACATATGAGTTACTACCATGGGAAATAACGTTGGTCTACTTTTGTTTGAGTCCACTGTCTGTTTGAAACAATAGGGCCAGCTTGTCTTCTGTCCTCAGGATGTGGATGGTAAATCATATGCACTCAATAAGGACTCGGTAATAATCTTGCCCGCTCTCCTGCCAGTGCTCAGCTCTGAAAGATGAATTACAACCGTCCACAGCCAGCAGTAAATACGTTTGGCTCTCTAGACTCCTTCAGTCATGTTTAGCCATACATATTTACTTGATTTATTTAAACGCTCCAACCTACCAAGGCTTCTTTGTGATGGAAACCCGAGAGGCTGTGTGCGACGGGACTTAATGAAGGGCTGACATGAGAAGTATTCAAATGAGAGACGTAATTCATATGCAGAGATTTGTTTATGTGCAAACTACGTGTCCTTTTACCTTCTTTCATTTATCATTAGGTTTGGATAATGAACAAAAGAGCTCAGGTGGAAAGGCTGTGTTTGCAAAAGGATGGAACGGACTTGGGTTGAGATTTAAGGACATGTAAAGGAGAGATGGTGTGTGTGTGTGTGTGTGTGTGTGTGTGTGTGTGTGTGTGTGGGGGTGTGTGTGTGTGTTGGGGGGGGTCAACGTGTGTGGGTTTGTATTTTTATTGTGTGTGTTTGTTGCATGCGTGGGCGGTTGTGTAGCTGGTCGCCCTTCCCCCAATTTGCGTGAGAGGGAGCGTGAGTGAGTGATGGAGGTTGTGGGGTGGAGGGGGGGTTGTCTGTCTGGCTGCATTTACTGCATACATTTAAACTACACCCTCAGCACAGGGGCGAACTCTGGCCTTTGTCTATCCAAGCCCGGGGAATGGGAATGTCCGGGAATGGTTTCCAGGCATGGGGAATTAAATGGCCAGGAACATTTCTTTTATAGAAAGCTGCATGCAGTGATCAATCCTTTTTTTTCTTTTCTTTTTTTTTTCCTGTTCTACACATGGAACTGCCACATGTTTCTGTCCTAATGTGTTTTTATGTGACATGTCTAAGAGGGGAGTGGAGACATGAGACATGAATGTCATTCTTTACATATAAAATCATATCTATTCCCTTGGGGACACATTTTCTCAGATTTCCTCTAGTGATCCCATGCTGAGTCGAAGTGAGTTATCATTCAGCCCAGGTCTCCAGCGTACACTCCTTCACCTCACCAGCCTTCAGTGTCTCTACCCACCCCCATCCCTCCCTCGTCCAGAGCAAAACAACAGCAGCAGCATCTGAATCAGGGTTTCCCCTTTGCAACACCCTGTCCTCCTTTGCTGCTTGCTCTACCTCTCCCCCCCCCGCACTCTGCACCTTTCCCTTTCATTCCCTTTGTGTGTCTGTTTGCGCACGGACAAGTGTGGGTGCGCTCGTGCGTACACACATCCTCGTGTTTGAGAGAAAATGAGTGTGACAGGGTTTGAAAGGGAACACGTGTGCCCCGGGACATATCGGACCCCTCCTCCTTCCTCTCATTCTGCCTCCTTGGCTCCTCCTCCTCCTCTTCGTCTCCCTTCTCTCTGCTTCACCCCGCTGCTCAGCCTACAAAGTGTCACAAAGACGCCAATCAGTACCCACATGCTGTTACCCTGCCCTGCACTTCCTTTGGGGACCTCTTATATATTCCTAGCTAGAAGAAGACTTCCTCTCTTCCTCCTTCCTTCCCTATCTTTTGTCTAATTTGTCTTAAACCCGTATCCTTCCCTGACACTGTTAGTTGTCTTTAAACTGTTTCCATTGTGACGCTATGTGTACTGTAAGAAAGAAAGATGCATCTGTGTGAAGTAATACATCAGGCTTGTTTTGAAAGAGTTAGATGCCTTTATAGTTCAGCTCTGACTCAGTGAGCTGAATGAGGTCATGCAAACAACATTTAAACAGTTCTATGCTGAGAAATGCTGTCCCTGTACAGTCTGTTATACAGCTCATCAGCGGGACTTTTCAGTTTAGTATATTTCAAAATGACTGTGTGTCAAAGGTGTATTATGTACAGTGTGTTTTACTGCTTTCCAACTGAGTATACAGTGCAAAAACACTATCAGAAAATACAAAAACTACCATTAAGATTGTGCCAATATAGTGATGATGTAGTTACCCCTAAATACAATGTACAACTACTAGTATTAGTACTACAACTACTGCAATGTTACTATGAATGAATATGCATCGAAAGGTATCTCAGAATTCTACAAAACAAATTGAACTAAGCACTTAACTTAATAGAGTTTGCTCAGTAAAACCAGAGTCTGTCAAGTTATTAATCAGAGAAGACATGAAAACAATAACACTAAAATATACAAACAGAATGGTATGAGATGCAGCAACACTTTGGTGTTCTGAATTACCACAAGAGTCAAAACAGCTGGCTTGTTGGAGGCACAAAGAGAGATTAAGAGATTGAAGCACACAGAAGCACTACTGTTAGCAATTTCCATAAACAATAACAACATCTAACAAGTTCTCTTTTCTAATGCATCCATACCAAAGCTTCAACTGGAGATGTAAATGATAGCCTCTCCTTCAAATGTCATATTAACTGCTAATAATTACAGGGAATGTTTCAGCACTTAGCTCTACCGCGCACACACGCTGGCAAGAATGCCAGACACTTTTGGGTTTCATTTTGTGGTGAAGAAATTAAACTAAATTAGTCTGTGGTTGTTGGAGTGCAATCTAATTAAAACCTTTTGCAGATCACCGAAGGCTGATGTTAGTATTTCTTTTTTATGCCCCTCTTATAGTCTTCCCCCATCCAATCTTCACACTGAAATAACAAAACACATTTTAATTTTACAACTGGATTACGGGTCTGTAACCTGTGTCTCTGGTGGTCTCAGCATAACCTTAGCCATCAGCCTAGATGCTGCTTAAAAGCAGAGAGCTCATTAAAATGATTGACAAAGGTGTGATTCTGGTCAACTGAGGCGAGGAGGACAAGACTCTCTCTGCCTCAAGGCTACATGATATTGTTTTTCTATTAATTAATTATGACACCCATTATAAATACAATTCAAAATGAATAATTGATTTCATTATCAATTATTAGTGACATTTCATAATTGGTTTATAAAATGTAACTATTATAAACGTGCATTATAATTCTCAAAGTTCAGTGTGACGTATTAAAATTGGTTGTTTAAACTTGATCAGCAGTCCAAAGCCCAAAGATAAATAGTTATTTATCGTTTATGTTAGAGAAAAGGTTAAAATTGTTGAGAAGATGCAATCGGTGAATGTTTAGCACCTTTTGCATGAAAAAAATGCTCAATTGACTATCGACTGACCAATCACATGATTTCAGCTCCAAAATGAATTTCACTGCAGGAAACTAAGATGGGTCACATTAAACATTTCAGAAACAGGAAGATGAGAGTGTAGGATAAAGAACTGGAATGTGGAGAGAAGTATGAATATATATGATCTATTATGCCGCTGATGAGTTCTTTCAGTGATTAATTATTCTATTTAGCAAGGAGGAAGAGAGGGTGCTGGGAGCAACTGACAGAAATACGTGGCAGATAATAGTAAGATTGATGGAGAGAAATGACAGCAGACATCCAAACAAAAGAGTGATTTACAGAGCTTCCACTCTCCCCCTTGGTTAGGGATTAAGTGCAAGTTTGAATATTTATAATGCCCATAAGCTCTGTCTCTATGAGCTTTTACCTGGAAAACACTGATCATCCCTGCCTCTGTGCTAGGCTTGTCTGTGATAAGACTGACCGACACACACAAAGCTGCTCTGTGCTAGTATGGGAGCAATTGAGACAATCGCAGTGGTACACACAGGCACAAACAACACATTCATGCACACACACACACAGCAACTACAGATTCCATCAGTATCCAGGAAGCTGTTGACCAAGAGGAATGCGTTCCCCGACATGCAAAACTCGACTTACATAAGCACCATCAGGATCAACCATACAGTTGACTAATGGGTACAAACAGTGCAATCTCTGATGGTTGAATCTGTTTTAAGGGGGCGGGGACATGCAACCCATAGACAGATGGTTTTGGAGGCATACAGACACACACACACACACACACACACACACACACACACACACACACACACACACACACACACACCCACTCTCTCTCTCTCTCTCTCTCTCTCTCTCTCTCTCTCGCTCTCTCTCTCTCTTTCTCTTTACTCTCACTTAACCAAAAACATGACCTCTCAAACAAATGCACAGGAGGCACACTTGCTTATGTAAGAATTTATGAAGCCGCCCAGGGACATCATACAGATGCTTTGTTGCTGGAAATAGGACTGAAACATACAGGCAATATGGGATGACACAGCGAGGAAGAGAGTGAAGAAAAGTGGGGAAGACAGATGAGGAGAAATGCCTGTAGGTCCGCACACACACATACACACACTTCAGTTCAGGCAACAAATAGTGAAAGCAGAGGCAACGCTTCACTTCTGGGAATGTGAGTTATGTGACAGGAAGTCTCTTGGATCTGTCTGGATAACTGTGACTGCTGGTTTGCCATACTGTAAAAACATGTATCACCGAAAAACACCAGCTGCATTCCTCATCTCTGTAGGCCTCCTGACAAAAACCTCAGACAGCAAACTCCACATGTGTTTAAGTCTAGACGTTGTACTGTACTCAGTGTGGCACTGAAGGTGCACACAGAGCCACTATGGAGGTTTTAGGACGGTTTACTGATTCAACTGCAGATTCGAAGTTATGAGAACAGTCACTGATTAATGTGTGCATAAACTAGTGCTAATTTCTCTGCTAACCCTTTCAAAAATTGTATTTGAGTGAAAGAAATATGTTTATACCTTCAAGCAAAAATTTAAGATTCAGCTTATTCGCTGAGGAGCAGCACCTCTAAATCTTACTAATTCAAATTTTGTATCTCGTGTTTTTAATCTGTACAAAAGCCGAAGAATAAAACCAACAATTTTTCAGTCTGTGTAAAGGTAGCATTCTTCCTCAGAGAATCATTATTTTGCTGCCTTTCCTCTTGTCAGGAATCATCTTTATGAACTGCTGTCATCTGAGAAAAAGCAATAATGTTTATTGTACAGCGCGGAAATACTACCTACTCTATTTTTTCTCTCCACAATGTTAATTCTGAGCCCCCTCCCACTATCAAAATGTCAAAACCAGCAAATGTTCCGTTCATCTCTGAGCTCTGTCCACATGTGGCAGCCAAAGTTTAGGTGTAATTCACATTTTACAAGTGGGAAGAAAATGCCATAACGCAGCTGTGAGATGGAAACTTTCATCTGTACTCCACATGTCCAATATTCCCATTTTCCCTCTTTTTATTAATATTTTCATTTCCTCTCTTCAACCACAAATCACCTACCCTCATCATACCTGTTTCATCCTCTAAACTCCTTCATCCATACATCCACTCCCTGTTGCTTCTCACTCAAACCTCTCGCACCACCCCCCAACATCCTCCTCCTCCTCCATCCTCCCTCTGTTCCCTCCACCTCAAAACACTGCACATCTTTGTGAGATTCAGTATGACCAGAGGGCTGGTCTTTGTCCAGATTGGCATTCTTGACATATCTGTGTAGAGGATCCACAGAGCCCCCATGCTTGGCCAGTCAGAGAGACAGGATGATGGGCAGGCAGATAGACATGTACGAAAACCTACTGATTTGAGACTATACCCAAGAGCAAGGGGTCTTCGTGGCATTCTTCCCTTCTTTTATTTATTTCTTTTACTTTTTCACCTCCCTGTCACTGATAATTTTGACTTAAATAAAGACAGTGTCTGGAAATCATACATAGGAGAGGAGATTCTAACAGTAAATTCTCCTTCATGGCTGTCTCATTTAATAAAAGCTGAGCCACGTGTGCTCCTGCTGGCTAAGGATCAGACACCATCTATCTACCCTCTGTCTTCCTCTCTGGATTTCAGCTATGTAATTAAATAAAGAATAACCTCATTCAAGGTGCATATTTTATCTTTGGCAAAAGTGAGTGCATCTTGGTTTGTTCTGTCTGTCTTCAAAGATCTTAGCTGCAGAAATCATGCCTCTAGACTGAGACTGGAGCATTATCGATGGCTCACATCCTGATTTATACCCTCTTGTCGGTCGATAGCGTGTGTGCATCTGTGTGTAGCTCATCTGTTGTGTGAACTTCGATCCGGCACTAGGCCTTATCTGTCAGTTTGACAATATAAAAAATGTCTTCTATTCTTACGGTTTCTCATTGTTTCCTGTATGCCTTGTTCCCTTAATGTGCTCAGCCTGTGTCCCTTTCAGCTAAGCTGCCTTCATGCTGCATCTGATGTATGCAGCAAATCCAGACTTTACACAACAAACTGAGCCAAAATATGGAGAGATGTCTGGGCGTGTTATATTAAGCTAAAGTTAACCAGGACCAAACAGGCCTGCTCATACTTGATTTGCAGACCGTACCAAATCATCAGCCGCCCAGCACATGTTATTGTCATTAACCATCCAAAAAATGTTAACATTTAGCTGATAGGACTTCAGCAGCAGGAATGACTCAGTGCCCACAAAGCAGAAATCGAAGCAGCATGCTGCAAATAGCTTGGATCAATGGAAGAAATAGGACTATAATGTTACTTGTGGGTAACTTGAGTTCAGCAAAGAGATATTTTTTCAATTTACTTCAGATGTTGAATGAATGGGGCAGTTGTTGTTGAAGTAAATGATAATGAGCCTGATGCATTACTTTAAATAAATCACAACTGATCTCTGTGTTTGTTTCTATCCTGCCTGTTTACCTTCCACGTTGTCTGACTGTCTGTCTGTTTGTCTTCAGACTCGGTGACCAGTTCTACAGGGAGGCTATTGAACACTGTCGCAGCTACAATGCCCGTCTTTGTGCTGAACGCAGCGTACGCATGCCCTTCCTGGACTCGCAAACTGGTGTGGCACAGAACAACTGCTACATCTGGATGGAAAAGTGCCATCGCCAGCCAGGTGGGAAACACCGTCTAAAGTTCATGCTACTGATATGGCTTAAATTATAAGTACCATTTTCATTTATTTAAAGAGTAAGTTGACATTTAGGAAACATACTTACCACTTTCTTGATGAGAGTTAGACGAGAAGATTGATACCTCTCTTATATCTGTACGCTGAATATAAAGCCACAGCCAGCAGCTTCTTAGCTTAGCTTAGCATAAAGAGTGGAAACGGGGAAACAGATAGGCCGGCTATGTCCAAAATTTAAAAATCTGTTTGTCTAATCCTTAAAAAAGCAAACTAAACATCTAGTTGTGGTTTTACGGGGGCGTAATGACACAGACTATTTCTAGTGCTGTCCTTGGATACCTCCATTGCTGGACAACTAATGTAGACTCCATGAAATCCCTGTGAAATCTAATGTGTTAATTAGTGTGCTTTAGATGTGCTGGTAGGCAGATTTTATTTACCTTTGGACAGAGCCAGGCTAGCTGTTTCCCCCTGCTTCCAGTCCTTCTGCTAAGTTAAGCAAACTAGCTGCTGCCTATAGCCTTATATTGAACACACAGAGAGTGGTATCAATCTTCTAACTCTCAGAAGGAAAGCGAATAACCAGAAATGCATAAATATGGATGGATAGAGTGGATGAATTTATAGATCTCCCTCTCAGTGAAAGAGTCACCCCCTCTGTATATTCTGAGTTACCACTTACTGATTTATCCTGAGACGAGCCATTTGAGTGCTTTATGCACATCTGGGTCGCCTGTACAGCCAAAGGGAACAATCTGCTCTTTACTGAAAGCTGGACACAAATAGCCTGCTCTCCATCTTGTATGCAAAGCCCTTCAGGCCACACCCTATACTTTGTGGCAGACCTAACTCACATTATATGCATTTATTCTGGGTTCATCCCTCCCCCCTCATTCTGTTGATTTTTTTTTTCTCTGCTCGTGCTAACAGAAAAAAAAAATGCTTCTTTCCCTTCATCTCAGTCTTCTACTAAACTAATGGCAGAATATGACAAAAGGCCAAAATATTTAATTTATTTAATAGTGACAAAACAAAATTCTGAAACTGAATGTAAGCATCCTCAGTGTTTTTTGTACACTGATATGCCTGATAAAGTAAACTAAATTTCAGGTTTTGTGTGACAAACAGTTTCTGGGATCTGACTGTAAAAGCAGGATCTTTCTGAATACGTGGACCATTACGCTGAGCACTGAAATTGGGACATATTAAGTGTCAGGAAAACAGGACCAGTCCACTGAGTGTATTTATGTGTGTGTGTGTGTAGAGGTCTCAATGCAAGTTTTGTTAAAATGGAAAGCTTGCCAGTGGTTGTTAAAATTCTTCCTGTGTGCCTGTGTCTCTGCATGTGTGTACTTCTATATATATGAATGTGTGTGTGTGTGTGTGTGTCCAGGCCAAGCAGCAGGACAGATGTATACCTACCCTGCTCGTTGCTGGAGAAAGAAGAGGCGACTCCACCCACCCCTGGATCCCCAACTCCGCCTGTGTGAGCTTCGACTAGGTAAGACAAACAACACACGTACATGCAGCACATTGACATACATGCATATCAGTGTGACCACAGTTACACCACTGTAACTTGTGTATCCACTGGCTCCATTTAAATGCACATATATGTTGTGTTTGTGCCCTCTGTGCTCTTGTTTAGCTGTACAGAGCTTTAGGCGTGCTCAGTGGCGTTAATGTTTGTTATCTGACCATCTGGCTCTGGTTAGCCCGTCTCTCTCGCCAGGTCTCCAGGTTCATTCTCTCCCCTGAATCAATGCCTCCTCTCACTGTTCTCTGGCAATAGACACACATGCACACACATTCACACACACACACACACACACACACACACACACACACACACACACACACACACACACACACACACACGAATATATAAGCGCACAAACACCCCCGCAAATGACTCTTGCTCTCCGTTGCAGCACAGAAGCACCCTAACTGGGCCTCTATAATCATTTGTCCATGAGGCATTAGAATGTAAGTGAGTCTTATGAGGTGGAAGTGTACACTTTTCTTATGTGTGTGTGTGTGTGTGTGTGGGGCATCCATGCATGCATATATGCGTGTGTTATAGGGGATTTTTAGCAAAGGAATGCCCCAGGAACCCGATAAGGGGGAGAAATAAAAGCAAGTCTTTGTTTCGGCTTTGCCACACTATTGTCTTCCAGACGCAATATAATACTCCAGAGTTTTCCACCAAGAGTGGTTCAGCTTTAAGCAGAGGACATTTCTGGGGGGGACAAAAGGAGAAGAAACTCCAGACCCCAGAGTAGCAACCAACCAAAGCCCATAAAGGGACAGAAAACAAGCAATACGCTGTAGTTAACAAGAGCAGGAAAGCTTTTGTAGCAGAGGGTAAGAGAGAGAAGTCTCCACTTTTGTTTAGCAGAGATCCAATTCTGCAGTTTGGCCCAGATATCTATCATAACACGACAGAGGAATGTGAGTGCTCCCCTTTCAGGCTTTTGGAAATGCTTTATGTTTATTTAATGCTTCCTGAGCGGAGAGGTTTGTCTGTGTGTGTGAAGATAAACAGAGGCTCCGTCATAAGGTTACTTTGAAACAGTCTGAAACCAGAACTGAATTCTTTGTTTTGTAGATATTCCGCTTTTTCTTCGTGTCACAGCTCAACATGTGAGTGGCCATGCCTCAGCAGCCATTTTTCTTCCCTCAGTGTAAACTCCCTGTTTCATCTGATGAATGTTAGCTGGTGTTCAGCTTAGTTTCTATCTCTTAACATACTTTTGACGTTACCAGCCAGTTTAAAATAAAGGGTCACTCCAATAATGTATTATTGCACTTCCCTAAAGTTATATCCTGAGTTTTTACCCCTTTTTGTCCATGTTCTAAACATTCTAGATTTTCCATAATGCAAATCAATAGCATCTTTTTGCTGTGGTGAGAGGTACAGAGTGGGGAGGGAAGAAATGTCTGTGTCAAAAACAATCTACACAGGAGGGAAAAGAGGAGACACAGAGGTACAGCAGCTCTGTATCCAATAAGAACATCTTACAGCCTTAGCAGGCTTGCTCACACCCTGCCTTTCTTATCACATCCCTGCTTTCATTCTGCTTTCATCCTGGTGTTAGAGTTCAAAGACGAGGACAGAGAGTTAACACTGGAGAAAGTTCATCTCCACGGAAATGAAAAGAGAGAGAGGAAGAAAGATAAAGAGAGTGGGGTACTGGGGATGTCATTTAGGTCCATGAGCCATTTTTTTTTATTTTTTATATTTGGTTCATTATTTCCTCCTCTCTAACTGTGCACCTGGTGCACCTTAGTGTTTTATTGATGTTGAATCTGGCAGCCTGCCAGGCCACTGTTGCTAAAGCTCCCTTTACACCCTATAAAGAGGGAGCACTTACACAATGTCCACATTGATTCGGATGCTTTGTCTCGGCTTTGGTCTTCCATCTACGCTACATTAACATGTTGTTCATCCAAAACTGAGCTGTCTAATTTAACATTTGTGTTAAATATGGTCATCAAAAAAAGTCAGTGAGGATGATAAACTGTAACACACATATAGACCCACCTTCTTTCTCTTATTCTCTTCTACCTCAGAAGCTGAGCTGGCCCCCAAGCGTGAGGTTCCCCCAGGGGAGGCCACAGCCTTGGAGGCCCTCCTGAGGGGGGACAGCCTGCTGGAGAAAAAAAACAACCTCTGTAAGGAAGAGGAGACGTTGCTGGAAATACAGGTATTTAATAATGTGTGCATTATGTGCAGTATCTTACATTATTAAGGTATGTCTATGGTTCTGTTTTGGCAGACACTAGCAAAAGTTGGTCTTGTAAGTGAGAGGTGTGAAATTATGAAAATATTAACCCTCCTTTCTAACCTCTTCACACATATTTGTAATTGTGTCTAACCCTCTCTCTCTCTCTGCTTGTGTGCTCTGTAGAGAGTTCTGGAGGCGGATGAAAATGGGGATGGTTTCCATGATGATGAAGACTTTGAAACGGATACTCCAAAAAGAAAGAACAGAAACAGAGGCAAAGTGAGTACGTACACAGGCACGCATTTGTGTGTCTGGTGTAAAAGAGAGCACAATACAAATCTGTTCAAATCTGTTAAGAGTATGAAGTGACACTTATTTTTTTCTCTTTGCTTCACACCAAATTGTCACAATAACTCTTGTTTTAGATTAATTAATTAGATATTATATAGAGTATGCTGTTTAAATATCTCAAATTTGTGTTGAAATATTCATCCATTGGAGGTTTAAATGTCTGACGTTTGTTGTTTCCTTTCAGAACAGATCCAGTCGCAGAAGGACAGAACCCGTTAACATGGACGACCAGGACAAACCTTATGTCTGTGACAGTAAGGGAACAGAAAACTTCATTCTTTTTACATCATGTGCCATCATGTGATCAGTTTTTCCTTTACTTGTTATTTCACCTAAATTCAGAACCACAGTGTTTCCTAAAGCTCAAAGAAGTGGAGAAACTCTGTTCTTCATACATCTGTCTGTTACAAGACCTCCTTTATGTCTTTATGATGTCAGGAAACCTTTCTCTACATGCCTGCTCCAAACTCTGATATTTTATATTTAGAAAAAAAGAGAAGAATACAGCATTCATTTTCTCCCATCTTTCAATGATAGCCCCCCTCTCTTTCTGTTCTAAGAGCAGTCCTCTGCAGCATGAAGAAAGAGTTTGCTGTTAATCCAGACCTGACTAGCATGCCACTTACGTACTTGGGCAGAATCCCCAAGGAATGGATTGCCATGGGGATGTGGATAGAGATAGCCACGCTTGAACAAATGAATCTCATCCTCATTTTGTGTCTTGTTCTGTCTTTCCTTTATTATTTGCTTTTGTGTCTTCTCTGTTCCAGATAGATACAAACAAAAGCATAACTCAAAAAAGGCTGAAGAAGGTATCTGAACCTGTCGCCATCTTGTCTTTGTAGGGGCTCCATGAACTGTCTTTATGATTGGCCTTTTTGCTCATGGGCATCTGGTGTGGGAATGGCTGACTGAATGCTAATCCCTTGGAGATATACAGTACAACGCTTCAAATGCTTTATGCTAGTCCAGGCGCCCATTCCAGCATTGCATGACACTAACGCTACGCCGTGTGCCTTAATGCTTGCTCTTTGCAAGGCATGCCCCATATGATGCTTCAGAAGCAGCTAATGTCACACTGAGGGATGCATGTTTCTTATAAGGCCACATTAGCTGTGATGTGATCCACAGATGTAGCCATTGTAGAAGTCTTTACACGTGGTGGAATTTCTTAAAATACTCTATATGGATCGGTTTTTAACCATGGGATTGGATTGGCAGTGAGTTCACAGGGAAATGATGGCGAAGCGTTGCAGCTTTGTGGTAAAATATGCAAATTTGGTTACAGTGAAGTTTAGACAGGAAAGGCTGCAGCAAGGAAAGCAGCAGAATGATGCAGTATAATAAAAAAAACTTCTATGATGGCTACAGCTCTAATGTGCTCATTAATGATCCTAAGCGCTACTACGATATTAGACTATAAATTCTAGTTTTCATATTATTAATACACGCGTGTGTGACTTCCATGGCTTCACAGTACAGCAAAGGCAGGATAACAATGAACCTGTCAAGCCCCCAGCCTAGGTTGGTTTGCTCGTAATGCTACTATAATATAGATAAGTCTGTGGATTTTAATATCCACTAAATATCCACCTGATTGTACATGATTGTGAATTTCTTAGAATTAAATATGTAGCAGATAAAGCCTCTGTCACACTGTCTCAGCAGCAATAATATAGCCTCTAAACTAATGGTTACATCCTATAATGTACTTGACTTAGGTGTTAAGGTTGTTGTGGTTAAAAAGTTAACCTATTGTAACATTTAATATTAAGGTGCTTGTAATGTTGTGTAAGTGTTGGTTAATAGGTAGTAAGGCCCTTTTAAGATTCATTAATATGTTAATAAAACTATACAAGAGGTTACAAGTGTTAATAATAATGTCATAAACATGTTTACTGTTAGATTATACATTTATAATTACTTATAAGACATTGTTTTTAACAGCTTGTAGACTACTTAAGAACATAAAAGCCTGTTTCTTTATATAATAGAATTACAAACTTATTATAATTACTGAATTTATCTTACTTGTCATTGTTGATCCATCTTATAAGGGCCTTATTACCTATTAACTAATACTTATTACAAGCACCTTAATAAAAAGTGTTACCTAACTGTGACTGTTTATACTTTATACTATATATATTGTTAACAGCACAAGTAGTGGCAATGTCTCTTATTTCTTTCCATAGGTTTAAGCAAATTAAAGAAGAAAAGGGTAAAAAAATGTGAGAAATCAGTTGTGTGTATGGCAGCGTGGGGTGGATGTACTGGAACAGTCAGTTTTCTGCAGTACATATGAGTTCACATAAAACGACTGTAAAGCAGAGTGCAAACAAGCAAACATGAATACTGACAGCGAGTTGAAGTTCCTGCAAATTGTCTTCTTCCATAAAATCTGATAAATTCCAAATAAGACAGGGATGACAGTTGATTTTAAGCAGACTCTTAGTCCACTGTACTAGCGGCTTTACGGTTTGATATGTTTCTAATGGAGCATGTGATGTTTTATCTGTAGTCTGTGGAAAGCGCTACAAGAACCGGCCTGGCCTGAGCTACCACTACACCCACACTCACCTGGCAGAGGAGGAGGGTGAGGAGGAGAAGGAAGCAGAGATGACCCCGTCTCCTCCACGCAGCTCAGACAACCACAAACGTAAGATGCTGGCTAACATTCAGTTACATAGAACAACAGAAAGCAGTCAGAAAATGAATGGCAGCTCACGTATCCTTCTCCTTACATGTATCCGTTCCTGCCGACAGCTCAGAAGGGCCCAGATGGCGTCATCATCCCCAACGACTACTGTGACTTCTGTCTGGGAGACCAGGACTCCAACAGGAAGACAGGCCAGGCCGAGGAGCTGGTGTCCTGCTCTGACTGTGGACGCTCTGGTGAGTCCCCAGTCTCCACAACATGGAGGGTTTCCATTAAAACTTCAGGTTCTTTATTGACGTCAGGATTAATGTAGACTACAAGTAATGGCTTTGTTTTCTCGCCAATCAAATCAGTGGGTTTGGAAGAATATGAATATGAGTGACTCAAATAGCACACAAAGAAAACCACTCTTAATAACAGCTCTTGTCAAGGCTAATAGTTTGACATTTTGGGAGCTTATTTGCTTTCCTGCCGAGATAGAGATGAGAAGATCGATACCATTCTCATGTCTGTGCCGTAAATATGAAGCTGCAGACAGTAGACGCTTAGCTTAGCTTAGCACAAAGACTGGAAACAGGGGGAAACAGCTAGCCTGGCTTAGTCCAAAGATAACAAAATCTGCCTAAAAACAACTCACTAAATAACACATCATATCTTGTTTGTTTAGTCTGCACAAAACCTTGACAGTTTGTGGTTTTACAGGAGGTCATGTGCTGGACTATGTCTTGGCGGGGTGCAGTGACTTCCTGGACTCTTGTTGTCACTGTGAGTTTTTGTACAGATTAAGCAAACAAGATATAATGTATTAATTACTAATCTTTTGGTGCTGCTAGGCAGAGTTTGTTACCTTTGGACAGAGCCAGGCTAACTGTAGCTGTAGCTGGCTGTAGCTTCATATCTGACGCACAGACATGAGAGCGGTATCGATCTTCTCATCTAACCCTATTTCCTTAAACATCCAACTATCCCTTCAGGAAACAACTGAGATTCCAGAGATTAGTTGTTTGCTAGTCTCCCACTTTAATTTGTGTCTACTGCACATCTCATTTTTGTTTCTCTTTACTTCCTTTTTATCCACAATCTTGTTCATGTCTGTTCCTCGCTTCCTTGCGATGTGTGTATTTGTTACTTGGACTAAAATGCCACTTCCCTAAAGACCACAAATGTCATGCAGTTACTATGCATCAAATATCTATTTAGATTCATTATTATATAATTTATTTGGGTAATATCTTTTGAAGGCCACATGAATAGACTATGAAATTACTACAAAATTACCAGTAAACACAGTTGGTGACAGTCTCATGTCATTATTATTCCAAGTCACCTTTGTTCAAACCAACCTGTGTCTTTACCTGATCATGTAGATTATACATTTATTGCGTGCGTTGAATTGAATTTCATGTTTCTGCAGTGTCTTTTCAATGGGTTGTCAATGAGCCTTGTAGACCATAGAAGTGAGAGCCATCCGCAGGAAATTCTTGCAATTTCCCTTCTAGAATAATATTGATTCATTGGCTCAGCTGCTTACTTCCATCCTGCATGCTTCTTCATATCAGCCTCGTCCACATTTAAGGACCTCTGCCTTTAGACAACATGCATTCACTCTTTTGTTGCTCAGTTTTCATGCATTACCTTATGGCACACTTGGCTGCATTTTTGTTTCTTTCCCCCCCCTTTTTTTCCACACTGCCCCAAAGCCGCCTCTGCTGGATATCACGGGCAAAACCTTTCTCTCGAATCAGCACAACCGTCTTATGCAATAGAAGAGTATTCATTTCAGCAAGTGAGATGTTTTCTTGCTACGGTAGACTTTATTAGAACAGCTGCGAGAGTGTGTGGCCTTGTCTGTGTTGCTCTGACGCTGATGTTTTCATGGTAGCTGGAAGAGGAGGAGTGAAGAAGGATGGGAGGAAGCTGAGTGCTCTAGAAGAATTGTTCAGCAACGCTTCAGACAGCGAGGCCTCCACGTTTCATGGCTTTGAAGATGCAGAGCTGGAAGGCATTTTGTTTTCAGACGATGATGATGCTGTGACTGACAGCTGATAACGGGACATCTTGACTAGCTGGACCTCGAGGCAATAAAAATCATTTTCTGATAACATATTTTCAATGAGGGAACCCTGAAAGACTTTGAAGGCACAGAGTGGACTACAGTGGCTCGCCCTGAGGGTACTTCCACCTCCAGATATATTTTGAACTTTTTGAAGATGCCATCTTTTCCTTGGAAAGTTTGTCTGATGAAACTTTTGTCTCTGATGGATACAATGGCATTTTTTCTACCATGTTCATATGGATATTACTGTTCAGCACGTTAAGACATTTTCCATTTTTTATAAACAAACAATAATCTCCTTACACTCGACTTGGTTTGCGTGAGATAATCAAGATCCTAGACTAAACTTCCCGGGCTACATCCTATTTAATTCTGGACTAAAAAGGTTAATAGCAGACACGGTGGACCAGAGAAAAAGGAATTAATTACATGAGTGGCCGCTTATGTGGCAGGGGGAGGGAGGAACATGGACTCTTGAGTCACTCCATTGGCTAAAGAGGACAGGTAGCCGAGAGGTAAGAGCCAATTGGCACTCCATTGCTCCTCTCTGTCTTTAAGGACTAGATCCTCTCTTTTATCAGTAGACGCTGAGTAGAAATGCTTTTTCTCCTGCCTGCTGCTAAGTGGCATCCATTTAAGCTGATAGGCCATCTTTTAAACTGCCACAGCTAATTCCATCCCTGACCGTAATTCCTCAGTTTAATTCGGGAGGCAGGCAGCAGCTTAAACATTTTCTGCTTTAGATTTCGCAGGCTGATAGGGAATCTTTTCAATGTTTCTGGCTGCTTTCCCAGTCCAGATATAAATCACTTCATCCTTGATTATGGCTCATTCATGGCTCATTGATACACCATTGATAACAGGGTGATGCAGATAACTGTGCGCATGAGATGCTGACAGCACTTTGAAGGTGTGGGTAGGCTATAAAAGACATTGGCAGTAGCTGTAAAATGTTAGCTATTAAGAGGGGGAACAAGACGACAGTTTTACATATATCATTGTTCTTTTTGTCTTGTCGCAGCTGTAGATTTATGGGAGATGATAAAACACGGCTTGGCTGGGTTTTCCTGTACACACATCGCTGCTTGTGTTTTGTTTTCAAGACATATAATCATCGTGTCTTTTGTGGCTAGATTGCTTTTGGTGCTTTATTTCATCCAGCTGTATGGGCTGTCAAAACTATGGGGTGCAATTACATCTGTCTGAATCACAGACACGGTTAACACTTACCGCTGGCTCTCATACAGACGTAGTGATCTTATTTCGAAAGGGAGAAATAATGTTTTCTAAATGGATGTCTTGTTTATCGACCAGGGAAAACATTTTATTCAGTCACTTAAAGGTGGGGTCAGTCATTCTGGAGACAGATTAGTTTAGTTAGATCCCCAGGTCGCCAAATACGGACGCATTGTGTTGGTGGCTTGAAGATAATTGATTGTTCAGTCTCATTTACGGATGTCCCCTGTTGTGTTGTGTGGCTCGCTCCATAGCCACATTGTTTGTTTCCCATTTAAACCTAAACCTATTCTCTCTCTCTCTCTCTCTCTCTCTCTCTCTCTCTCTCTCTCTCTCTCTCTCTCTCTCTCTCCAGAATGGCTGGCCCAACCTTTAAGCAAAAATATTTATATTTAAAATTTTAAAACCTTTTTTACACCAGATGGGCATTTTTATACCGTAGCATTAAGAAAAACTGAATGCAGCAGAATTACAAAGTCTGAGCACAGTGGACATAATTTAAATCATTTATTCATTGTCATCAACATGCAGATAATGTAAATCAGCTTTATCTAAATTATGTAAATGTGTGTAGATTTGTCTCTCTTTGTCTGCTGTCAGCTCCAGTTCAGAGCTTCTGCCACACGTCTCTAAATTATTACATATACATAAACATATAACACTCCCGGTCACACCTTCCTTGCTTTCTCACTTTTCTCGTCTCTCCTCGCCATCCCTCCGCAGGTCACCCCACATGTCTGCAGTTCACTGACAACATGATGCAGGCAGTGAGGACATACCAGTGGCAGTGCATAGAGTGCAAGTCTTGCAGCATCTGTGGTACCTCGGAGAATGATGTATGTATAATGCAGGAGAGGGAGGTCGTGTACGGTCCTCTGGGGCTCCAGAAATGTCAGTGTTCGGATGTTATTACTATGTTTCCCTTTGAATTGGCTTTGATGCGAGCTGAATTTGACTTGTTTTCCTTTTAATACTGTGACCTTTCCACAGTCGGCATTCAGCCTGTCGTAGGCAATACATTACATTGAATCTAAGTTACTTTACATGCCAAGCAGATATTACACTTGATAAATCACCCCAGATGTGGTTTTCTTTTTCACATCAGTGAGTGACTCAGTAATATGTTTTCTAAGAGTGAAAATACCACTGTTGCTCCTTTGAATGAAATTATTATAAATGTATGGGTTCTCCAAATAAGTTTATTGGTATAGCACAATTACATACAATTGCAAAATTATTGTATTGTATTCAAGCAGGGTAGTCTCAGCATTTTTGACAGTTGTATCCAGAGGTTTAAGAATAAAAGATGTGGCCTATTTGAAGCTCCATTAGCTGTCCCATATTGCTTTGAAAGTTCACAGTGCTACTTGTCAGACCTCTTTTATAGCTGATAAATGCTGTTAACTGGCATTCAACATAATGTGAGCCACATTTACAGCAGTATTTGTAACTCTGATTTACTTACTTACTGCATTTATATCCCTTCCCAGGCAAGAGGGATACTTATTCTTCTGCCCCCTGTACATATTGTATAGATATTATATATCTAAGATGTTGATTGTATGCTGCCAATGCAGGACCAGCTGCTGTTCTGCGACGACTGTGACAGAGGATACCACATGTACTGCCTGAAGCCCCCAATGACCCAGCCTCCAGAAGGTACAGCCACTTTCATAGGTTTTATTATACATCAGCGGGTTGATACTATATATGTCATGTGCTGTATATCTCAGAGAGGCTACAAGCAAAGGCTATATATGGAAAAGAGCAAGGAGGACAAAGATTTGAACCTCTCTTTCTCTCTCCACAGGGAGCTGGAGCTGTCACTTGTGTTTGGACCTGTTAAAAGACAAGGCCTCAGCCTACGGAGAAGCATAACTCCCTGGACATTCTTTTCACCACACACGTACACACAATATATATATTTGTACCTATACATTAACTGTTGCTAACATGCCCACACATCAGCAAAAAGTCTCTCAGATAGTATCAAACACACAGATACACTCTTTCACACACACTCCAGTGCATTAGCAGGCTCAGGGCAGTTTCCTGTGAGGCGGAGAGATCCTCACACTCCAGATGCAAACGGCATCAACATGCAATCTCGACCATAAGTCAGCTAACAGCAGGCCTGCCATTCAGTAATTTCTCTACCTCACCACTCAGTAGACGGCAAGAAGCCAAGGCAAGATAATGGCCAATACATGTGTAGTGCATGTGTATGTGAAATACACGTTTTTAAACCAAACATCTGAAAGTTCCTGGATGTTTTCCGCTGATTTGAACGTATTCGATTTGGAAGATGTTTGTCCCAGAGTTTTTGCTGAAGCTGTTTCACTTGCCTCCCTTGCTGCTCAAGTTCTACAGTGGGGGAACCTGAGTGGGTTTGACTAATGTTTGTTTAAATTTCTCCTTCCAGCTCTACTTCTCTCCTGTGTTTAGACCTTACAGTGACATTCCGATTTTATATCTGGACAGACTCAGTGTTAGTTATGCCATCTTTCACAGGTTTTGTCAAGCTTGGTGAAATTTATATCCAGTGCTTAGAGCAAACAGGCTGATAAAACAGCCTGGACTATCATTTCTGTTGGAGCGCGGTGACATTTGTAATCCACGTCTGTTTTTTGTATGCTCGCAGTTACTAGGATACCATGGTGCTCAATTTGACACTTTACAAAATGATAACATTTCTTTACGTAGAATGAAACACTTATTTATTTATTGCTGATAATGGTCCAATGTTACTGTCAAGGAGATCATTGTTACTGTAAATCAGTGGTTCCCAAACTTCTTTTATGGCCCCCTTTGGATGCCAAAAAAACAACTGACCCCCTTCCTCCCCCTACACAAACACATAAATTGATTCCATTTTTATCATATTGTAACAGTACTGGGGAAATTGTAATAACAGTAAATGAAATATATTGAAATAATACAAACACAAACTGCATTTTCTTGGATTTTGTCATTATGTTCTGATGTTAAACTGAAAAATATAAATTAAACTTTGTCCAAACTGCCAGTATCTTTACACACAAGCTTCAGCTCTTATAATAAAAGTCAACATGGAAGTTGGGAACCACTGCTGTAAAATTAACCAGAGCAGTGCATGCGTATATTATCAAACCTTGATTCATGACTATATAACAGGCAGTGTGATGAACCATATAGGCTGCATGTCCGGAGGATGCAGTATTTACTGTCTGGAAGTTTTTTTTACAGTTTTTTAAATGCAGTTATTACCAGAATAATCTGGACGTTCTGTATTTGTATTACCACGTAAGTAAGGTTTATATGTTAAAATGGTTTCACCTAAAGTCGAATATTTAAATCTTCCAAGGCCCATCAATGTAATTTATGTCTTTGTTCCGAGCTAAATTTGGTAGCATTCGCTTACTGCTCTCTAAAAACAAGGTTGATCATGAAAAGGAAGAAACACCACGAATAAGCTCAAAACTACAACAAAAAAAAACAACAACTTAGAAGTACACATAGTGTGCAAGCCTTGACAGGATATCACAATCTGCATTTGTGTGTTTTTTTTATTGTGAGTTTGTATTTGATATTGCTTTTCCACTGACAATCATGAGCTAGCATAGATATAGTACATGATGTTATTAATATGCAGAGGGTTTTATTGTGCTTGTCCATGGTGGGTATAATGACCCTTTGTGTCTTCCTTTTAAAAATGTCTTGGATGTCATTCTTATTTGATGCCATCACATACAGTGATTCAAAATGTGTGTTGTATTTTGTTAAAGTAAATGTAATGTTTTGTGTTGAAATAAAGACTTTTCCATAAATCTTGTTTCACCTAAACATCTTCAATCCACTTGTTTCACATTTTGCCTGTAAAATATATCCACAAAAACACTCTTTCAAGAACTTTTGTTCTCTTTTAATAATCCATTTCCAGGAAACCCTAATGGCATATATACACACTGAAAATAGGCACTGAGTGTATGAGGCTCTGGCCAAGATGGCTGCGTCTGATATGAATCCATTATAATCTAATGGTTAGATAAGCTCTCATTTACCCTTGGTTTTCTCCAAAGATATGGTTGCCTTTCTGTTTGTCTGCCAACATCTCTTTCTATTGATGCTGACTAACAGGCATACACAATAAACCTTACAAGATGTTACAAGCATGTAAATGTCTTATTCAGTATTTACCAGTATGTGTAACACTGCTCAGCTAATGTAATGGCTTCAAACCCCTCATTGATTCTTTTCACCACTTTCCAAAAAATACGTTTTATTAAATGTTATTATAGGTCAAATGTCCATGTCATCGCATTACAGGAAATGTTACATGGTTTGTGCTTTGCCCTTTGACGCCTCATTATAGGTTAGTACTTACATCAAATTGCCACTAGGGAGCACTCTTGGACTTGAGTAGAGCTCTGGATTATTCACTCTAAAATGTCTCAGTATGATGCTATATGAGGAAATGTTAGTTGACTGATTGTCTTAACAGCCTTGACACATAAATCTGATCAATTTGACCTTTTCTCAATGAGAACTATAGCAGTATCTTGTCTCAACTGGACTCCTTTAAACCTTTTAACCCGTCTCTGAGTGATATAAGAAGTATTTAGATCCTTTACTGAAGTAAAAGAAGCAGTGCTGCAGTGTAAAAATCTTTACAGTGTACTCAAGTTAAAATGCGTAAGTATTCTCTGTAAAATGTAATCCACAGTAAAAGTATTATGTATCATGCAACATAGACCCTGACATTACAACAGGGTAACAGGTAGCAGCTCTCAATACAATATATTGGTGTAAAAACATACAGTAGCCCACAAGGGACAAAACAAACACTGGCTCTAGATAGGGCCTTTTACTGAGCTGTATGATTGCAATCTGCAACTTCACCATTAGATGCCACTCAATCTTAAACACTGGTCCTTTAAGGTAAATGTATTACCTACTGCCCCACACACTGTGACATACAGCAGTTATCCTGAGATAAAATCAAAAAGAACCTAGTTGACGGCAGAAAGATTTAGGATGTTCACTGCAAACAAACCTTACTGTGCAACTCAAAAGAAAGAGTCTGAGAACCCTCTGTGACTTGACTTTGCCCTCTTTCTGTACTGTATATTACTGATTCAAGGTTGGCAACAGGATATTAAAAAATAGTTAAATAATGACAGTAAAATGACGGTTTGCTGACGGTTTACTGGGACACACATTTCACATGAGAGTGACAAGAACAAACATAAATTACTTTCACTACTGAAAAGAAATATCATCTATGTCTTTTTGTATTGTATGTGTCTCCCCGTATAAAAGCCTGTATTATTCACTCAGCAGCTCGTAGTCATTCCAGTGATGATGGACAGGAAAGTGTTTGTGGCGAAGCTGGGATTCAGTAGAAGCTGCCCCAACATCTCTCTGCCTCTCTCCCTTGTGCTCACTGAACACATGGCACTTTTCCAAAGACGCACCAACGTCCCACCTGGTAGATGACATGATCGTGATCATCCTTAAACACTCACTAATTCAATAAAAAACGACATTTTGATATTTGTGTGTGAATGTCTGCGTGTTTCCTACCCAGTAGAGAATTGACACTGCTCATCCAGGAGAAGATAGACAGTGTGTGGTTCTCCTCCTGACTCAGATCAGCAATATTAGGCGCACTGTCAGTCGCCTACACATACAGATATGACAGACAGAACAAAAAGTTGTAAAACTGATAGGTTGATTTAGAAATTAATGAATGGATTGATGGAGTTGTGTGTACGTACCTGTAAAACTCGACTCGGCAGAGGGGTTATGAACATTGCAGAATTTTCCAAATTGGAATGGAAATGTGCTGCTGAAACGTACTCTGCAGAGTTCTGCCAGCTGTTTGCAAATGACACCTCTGCAGAAGAGTAGTGGCCCTGCCTGAAGGAGAGGGGAGGACAGAGATGAGAAAGGTCGAAGGAATAGTAAAATGAGTAGAATATTGATACCACTCTAATAACTGTCTGTAAAATATAATCTAAAATATGAAGCCACAGTCCGCAGCCGGTTATCTTAGCTTGGCATAAAGATTGGAAACAGGGTTTAAAATCCCTCCCTATTTACTATAAAGCACTTACTGTCCGCCATTTTATCTGAATTCTCAGTGTGTAAATGTATCACTATATAGTGCCCTCATAAATTCCATAATGGATCAAAAACCGTAGTGTCCATGGCATGTATACTACACTCTGCTAACAATCCCCAATCCCACAATGCAATGCTTTGCATTTTAGTGACTAGTAAAATTACTAATTAACTCTCCATAAAACTACAAACAAGATAGGTAGATAGATAGATAGATAGATAGATAGATAGATAGATAGATAGATAGATAGATAGATAGATAGATAGATAGATAGATAGATAGATAGATAGATAGATAGATAGATAGATCACTTGGCATTGCATGTAGCAGAGGCTTGAGTTGAAGCCATTTGGGCTGCCCAGTAGAGGCCGAGGAGAGCATCTTTCTTCTCATTTTCAGGGAGTTCAGACTCAGCCGCAGACTTCAGACCCTTTAAAAACACACATAGAAAATATTGCACCTCCACAAAGCGCCCACAACTTCATTGAAATCAGTAATGTGTATATGGATTTGTTTGTGTCCGTGTACTGCATGTACCTGAAAAAAGGCATCCCACGTAGACATGGCGTCAGGGTACTGAGCTGCACAGTCAGCATATGTGGTGCAGTAGTCCGTTACACCTTCAGGAACCTGCATCTGGACCTAATAATATCGATATCAATCATCATTACAACCATCCTCCTCGTTATAAGAACCATAACAATTAGCATGCTTCACATTTTTGTGAGGACATAAAAGAATCAATAGCACTCAGTTGGTCCACCACTTTGATCCAGTCTGTAATATATCAACAACCATTGGATGGACAGACATTAATAGTGCCTATAAGAGGAATCTTTATGACTTTGGTAATTCCCTGACTTTTCTTCTAGCACCATCATGAGTTTGAAATGTGTGCTCTTTAGTAAAATGCTATAACAACTGCTGGATGGATTGCAATAACTCATCAGGTCAATAATCATAACTGCTTAAGATCAGGATGAGAATTACCTGAACTCCTGCTCCCAAGAAGCCCTGCTGTGCAGCAGACAGGAAGGGCAGTGCAGAGGCATAGTAGTTCACACCTGAAAGACGTGGTTTTGAAAGTGTTTAGCGTTCTCTTTGTATTTGTGTGTGTGTGTGTGTGTGTGTGTGTGTGTGTGTGTGTGTTTGTTTGTCATACTTACAGCCCCACCAGCTCTGAGTTGAAATACACATGGTATCTCCTGATTCCAGGCCACAGGTTGTAGCACCGGTTGGATCAGCGAGACGTCCTACAGAATCAACACATCATACATAACACCATCAGTTTGTGTGTAGATATTTTGGTAGCTGGTGGCCTCAATAATGTCCTGTTCACTCAGTTTAGAACAACAAGGGATGGGCATGTTTCTCATGTTGACTCTGGCACTCACAGTAAATGTTGGTTATTCATTCTTTATAAAGTAACTGTTTTGAGAGTTTTAATTTTAACTAGAGCGTGTAAAGGCTCTTAAATGACTTACTATCTTGCACCAAAATAGAATAGAATAGAATAGAACTTTATTGTCATTGTCACAGGTACAACAAAATTTAAAGTGCTCTCCGGTCAGTGCTTAATTTAGCATACATTTAAAAAATAATAAATAATTAATTTAAGTGCTAGTGTTACCCTAAAAATAAAATAAAAACATATAACATAATTAGCAGCATACATCTATCTATTTGTCCTTGCTTTAAATGATCGGTACCACCTGCCTGAAGGCCAACAGTAACCAACTATCATTTTGGAGAAGGGAACGAACTATGACGCCTTTTACCTGAAGTCAGCATCCATCCAAGCTGCAGTGGCAGTCCCCACAGAGGACTGTCTGTGGCATTTGTCCCCATGGAGCCCATAAACGGGTCTGTAGCAGCTATCATCAGCCGGTAAAGACTCATTCGGTGAAGGAAGTGCCACGGGTCAGGAGTCAGGACGCCATTCTGTATCGGCAGGTCAGTCACTAGGCCGGTCGTATGTACCCACAGGACGGGCATGCCATTTTCTAGAATGACAGCAGAGCTGCTTAGAGACACTGCACTTGCCAGCAAGAGGCCGAGGACTGTCGGACACAGCATGACTGCAGAGAGGGAAGGAGTGAAGAGAGCCTACTCGGGACTGAGGGTTGTCACATTGATACAAGGCTTATATACTCTCTGTTCACATTGAAATGTTCCTCTGACCCACACAAGCAAACACATGTGTTCACAGAGACGCACACTCACAGCAGTCCATGTGACGGGTGGTCCAGTGGACCCTCAATCACAGACAGATAAGATAATGTGTGTAAATAGAGCTCAATACTATCAGAAATAGATCACTCGATCATAGTGTGAGGTTGAATGAAGTCAACATTAAAGAGCAATCAGTCAACTCAACAAACAGACTTTCACCATGATTCAACCACTGATATTTATGTTTTTCACATCTGAAATTTGAATGTCCAATCAATAGCACATTGGATGTGAATTTAAAAGTGATGAGCAAAAGAGACTCTAGTGTTATTTACAATGACCAATGTAATATAATGCTCAAGATCACCTTTCTGTTAAAAATAAATAGGTGCTGCTTATACATGTCTAAATCTATCAGTAAAACATAATTATCACGTTGAACTGTTTAACCTGATTAACACTTGAACCTCCACAGCACACATTTAACCTTAACAGCCTTTTTGTAGACTGACAACAAGATAAGAGCTATGTCCTGTCGGTCAGCAGCGGTCAATCCACATCTGCACATGTGAGTGACCACCGTGTACTTTTTGCCAACAATCTCTGAGAGAGGTGTGCAGATATTGAGGCCTCAACAGTTCAATAGACTAAGATAACACTGGACCTGACCCTCGTTTGGACCTGAAAACTCAAGACAACTCAAGCTGATATGCCTCCTATGCTTTGTATGGTGTTATTTTGCAAACTGATTGAAGTGCACCGAGCATTGTACTTAAGTACGATGTTGATGATATGCTTATATAATATGATAAGGTATTATACTACTAATCCACCCAGTAGCCTAGTGTACAACATTGAAGAACATTAAAATGCCCTTACATTTATTCATTAATGATAAAAACAGAATAATATAATATTCTATAAAGGATGTGAAAGGGGCTATTCTGCAGTAGAGTACTTTTCTGATACATTAAGTAAATATTACTGATAATCCTTATGTTCTTTTATATAAGTAACATTTTGACTTTAGAGTTTTACTTGTAATAGAGTGTTTTTAGTCAATAGTATTTCTGCTTTTACTTCACTGGTCTTATTCTGACATTGCTGTGTGACATTAATTTAATTTCACCAATCCCCAACTGCAGTCACGCAGCACCTTTTTTGGTCTCCAAACTAACACTGAACAGATACATGTCCAAGGTTGGATAACCAGGAGCTGGAGTTTGTTACAGTAGCTGTGTGGTTAACCCGTATGAACCTCGATGTGCAAACATCTGTGGACACACATGACAGCAGAGGCCCAATAAACTCATAGATCTCTTATCTAAACAGCACTTAGTGCACTTATTGGACCACTCATGTTCAACACATCTCTGCAACATCTGGACTACACACATTTGTGTTTGTGCACAAAAAGAAGGTCTCTAACATTTTATTAATGATCTTTTTTCCATATTTTTATTGATTTATTCTGTTATTATATGTTCTGTAAATTGTAGTATACTAAAAGTCTAAATGCAGTTTTCACATCTTTCGTAATCAAGTAATCAATAAGAACAAATCTTTAATATACTGACTCTTAAAGTAATACAGGAATGAGTTTATAAAATACCCTCTAGGACCATTTTTTAATTGTTCAGTGTAGGTCGTTGAGTCCCAGCAATGTCTTGAAAAAACAAACAGGGTACAAATCCAAGCTGTGGTGGAAGGGGTATTTAGATCCTTGACTTAAGTTAAAGCAGCAATACTACAATATAAAATATTATATATAAGTTCAAGTACAAGTTTATCTATAAAAGTATAAAGTAAAAGTGCAGGATGATCCCGTCAGTGTTAGATTTTTATGTATTATATACATTGCAGTGATGCATTTAAATGTAAGCAGCATTTTTAAGCTGTACTAGTATACTGTATTTTAATGAATGCATCATATTTAATAATTTTAATAATGTGACAAATAGATTAAAGGGACTAAAAAGCACAACACTTCTTTTAATAATGTTTAAGAATTGTACAGTACTTGATTGCTGTCCGTCTCTTTTAGATCCATGTTTTGTTATTTAAATTCAATCAATTCTTAAGATTTTTCTTGGTCCCACAAGTAAAACAAAAAATGTTTTTTATTTATTTATTATAAATGCATTATTGTACATACATGAATTGTATTGCTCAACCTTTAACATCTACACCAGTAAAACGAAAAACATACACATTAATGCAGCAGTAATGTTAACAGAACAAATCTACATATATAATAATAATATATATATACATACCCATATAGATAGAGACAGACAGATATATCATATATAATAGTAAAATACTGGCAGGGACCACTTTACTGCAGAATGAGTACTTTTACTTTTGATAGTTTAAGTAAATTTTAAATCAAGTAATACTTACATACTTTTACTTGTAATGGCGTATTTTCACAGTGTGGTATTTCTACTTTTATTTTAGTAAAACATCTGACAAATAATTTAAAAACAAACCATTACAGAGACCTGTCTTACTTTTGCATTTATGAATCTTTGGATGAAAAACTGAAACTAACTGAGCTGAGTAGATTCAGTACTGTAAGCAGGAATACATGTAGAACAAAGGTAATCAGAAAATGTATGTTCAGTTTCCTATGTTGCTCCATACAGCACAGCCCCATACAGTAACTCCTACCAATGCTTTTAACGCCACTGCTCCACACATCATGTGACGGGGGAGTGGCAGAGAGTCCGGAAGTACACCGCTGCTGCTGCAACTCTCAACAAAGGTAAAGTCCAAACTTTTACACAACTGAGCTGAACATTCAGAAAGGTCTGACAATACTGATCCATCCCCACGATAAACACTATCTTATGATGCCGGGTTTCATCTCTAGGAACGAAGAAATTAAATAAATGTATTCTCCGGGAAAAGGAGAGAGAAAAAGTCTTGAAATTGAGCTGCGACTTTGATTGTAACTTCACGACTTCTGCGTGTCGGAGTCAACACTGGGATTAAGTTCACTTATTAAACAAATGAGTTTAAATTCAACAGTGATCACATATGCTCTGAACTCGACTCATTGGAAAGCTCATGTGATTTCCGCATTTTTCTCGCTGGCAGTTGCTGAAGAAGAGGGACACACACACACACACACACACACACACACACACACACACACACACACACACACACACACACACACACGGACAGACTGTGAGGGTTGTGTTTATTATTATTAAAGGACAAGGCGTCATTCAGTGTAAGAAGCATTAACATTATTCTCGCCCCTAGCAGTAACAGGGCTGACTCCATTTGACAGTTTCTTAGCAGATGGTTATTTGCATACAGGCCATGGTTTCAATCCTGTTGAGTCAACAGTACAGGAAGTCTGCATGACTGGCTGTAGTAAACATTCCTCCACCCAACCCTGCTGGGCTTTATATATACAGTAAATAAGAGCATTGGGGGAATAAATATATAGGATTTTAAGCTTTTAACTGACAACAATTACCTAAAGCACCGGTTAAATGTAGGTCTACATGGGGCTGTTTGAATGGTTTGAGTTAGCTGGGTGCTAGTTCCAGTTAAGGGACATTTTAGAATTTTTAATGCTACAATCTAATTATTTTACAGCTATACAACTATATTTTAGTCCAGTGTTTCCCAGTCCTTTTTTGTCTGGCATACACTAGGCCTCCTCTAAGTCCCTGTCTCCTGCTTCATTGACTACTATCATGATCCAAATGTCATTTTACGTAACACTAGAACATACAAGTGGATAGCATACTGCTACAGTCATTGTTTGTACAATTGATTTGTCAATGTTTAGGCCAGTTTGGTCAAGTTTACATTCGTAAAAATATCCCTTGAGTGTCATAAGGTGGATAAGATATTCAGCACTCGTGTCTGGGTGATATGTTTGGATGTCACTTTTGGACTTTTAGTGTTGAAACTAAACTCTAAACTTGTGACTGCGATGAGTTTATGAGTCTTCATAGGGCAAAAAGTCTTACAACAAGGCCAGTAAAATAGCCTAAACTTGCTTCTATTAAAGCTTCCACACAAGGAAACTCAGTCATTGGAAAAAAACCAAAACCCAACCAAATGGTTTTCAGCCGAGATGCCCGAAGGAACAAACAGAACACACTGAAATAACTGCAGTAAAACATTCTCTGTCTGAATGAAGTGACAGACTGTGTTGTTGTTTCCTCCAAGCTCTCCACCATGGCCTACCATGCTGGGACTCCAGAGGATCCCAGTGCTTTGGTCCACAACATCAGCTCCAACATCCAGAAGCTGACACTGCTGAGTAATAGACACACACACACACACACACACACACACACACACACACACACACACACACACACACACACACACCACCACTCACTCACTCAGAGAAGAAGACATCATCAGACACATGAAGACTTTTTTTTTGGGATCAAATTTTTATTTTATTTTAAAGGAAAAATACATGTAGGTATATGCACGTTACAAAAATAGAGCATAAAATATGTACTCACATACATACCTATACATATGCATATATACAGACACATATGATTAAACAACTAAAATAAAATAAAATAATAAAAATAAAAATAAATAAATAAAACCCCAAATATAACCCACCCACCCCCTGGATCCAGAACTCCATATCTCAGTCACATATTACATCTGAAACCCACGGAGGATAGTTAAGAGTGAATGCCAAGCCTCTATTGCTGACTCTTTTGCTCCGTGGACTCTAGCTGTCGACAACTCCAAATAGACAATATCCAAATATGTTAAAACCCAAGCTCGAAAAGAGAGTGAATGTGGAGGTTTCCAACGTGTGGCAACTAGTTTTTTTGCAGCCGTAAGTCCAGCCACATGAAGATACTTCAGTATAGATAAACAATGTCTTTCTTCCTCACCAGCCTCTGAGCTGCAGAGGGCAGTTTCTCTGCTGGGAACGGAGCAGGACAGCAGCCAGCTACGACAGACGCTGTGAGTTATGGGGGCTCGGGGTCACATTTGCATAATTGATCTATTATGGTAAACATCGTAGTACAGAAGAGGTTGGAGAAAAGCCTAAACCTTTTAATCATGCCTGTCTGAAAGTTGTCCAGAGATCATTGATACTGATATTGCATTTTAAAGCTAATGCAACCTAATGCAGATATTGGAAACTCAACATCTGAATCTCTATCACTTCTCCTCTCAGCTGTTTGTTTTCATATTGTCTGGCCAGTTTTTCTCTGCTTTCATGGAATATGTAAAAAAAATATTTGTCTTTGGTCACCAGACAACAAAAACAGCAGCAAGGCAACCAGCTAGCGAAAGAGACTGACAGACTGATAAAGACATTCAGTGCGCTTCCTGTTGGCGCCGACCAGGTAACTTAATTCAACTGTTCAAAGTCACAATTTCCCAGCTTGTTAATACCAGTTTGGTACCACACTTGTTTCCCAAACTTTTTTGCGGCCTCTCTGTTAACATTGTTATTCTGTGTGTGTTTCAGCGGCAGAGAAAGATACAGAAAGAGCGTCTGTTGAATGACTTCTCCGCCGCCCTGAACAGCTTCCAAAAGATCCAGCGGCAGGCAGCCGACAAAGAGAGAGAGTTTGTGGCCAGAGTCAGAGCCAGCTCCAGGGTGTCGGTGAGTGACCCGCTGTGCAAGGTCACAAGTTCATGATGTACACCTTTGATATAGACAGGGATTAAATAATACATTAGTGAGTGACCAATTATCCATATAGCAGCTTTGTTTGTCAAAAGTGTCTTTTTTCTGGCCCCTCTGCCACATAGCCCAATAACAATATTGAGGGTTTACATAAGGAAAGCATATTTAGGTAAGAACAGTTGAAAGCAGCATTCAACAAGGCAAAAGATACAGAGGCATCCGGCTAAGATTGATACTTTATCTTAACACAGAGCCCTCAGTGTCTTTTGTCAGATCATACATACATCTCAACAGCTGTGAAATGAGGCATCCTGTCCTATTTCTGTTGTTGGTTGCTCTACTGAAGCTGTGTATTCATATTTATTTCAACTGAGCGTTTACATGAGAACTGTGCCACAGACAGTGCCTTTAATTGTGACTGTTTCAGACACCGGTTCCCTCGGGAGAGCGTGCTTGCTTGGCAACTCTGTTCCCTCAACGCTTATCTCACTGCACAGAAAAGTATCTGTATCTGCTGTGCTTATGCTGATAAGCAGGAACAGTTCCTTACTGCTTTAAATGGTTGGTAAGGAACGTATTTGCTCTATGTCAGCACACTTACGTTTCTGACAATGAGCTGTGCTGCTTACTTATCAAATTATGTTTAATAAATAATTAATGAGGCCATGGGCACTGTAGGCTTTATAGCACCCAGTGGCCAGCACCCAGTACATACTAACATTGCTTTACCCATAATCACCCATAATAAAGAATGTCCTCTGCATTATATTTGCAGTAACAAGCACACAAGTATGTTAATGCAAACTTCCTAATTTCCTTTTACAGGGAGGACAGCCTGATGACAGCTTTGGAAATGTGTCTCCATTCCATAGGTAGGTCCATTATTTACGATCGGTATGATCATTTCTGTTATTATTATTATTATTATTATTGTTATTATTATCATTATTAATCTACATTTGTTCTTGCAGTGATTCCCAGGCTCAGGCTCAGGCTGAGGCTATCACTGAAGAAGACTTGAGGCTGATCCAGGAGAGAGAGTCGTCCATCAGGCAGTTGGAGGTACAGTTAAGAATGTCCATACCAGCATGGCCACTGATATGTACAGCATCTCATCAGCTCTGTGTTTTCTGTATTCCCCACTCACACTTGTGACACCTTTCACATGAACCATCTCTCTTTATGTTGCTTGATTCAGTCTGACATCACAGATATCAATGACATCTTCAAGGACCTGGGGATGATGGTCCATGAGCAGGGAGACATGATAGGTGAGCGTCTGTCACCTGTCCCTAGATCACTTGTCTGTTCCTCCAATAATAGTCAAACAAACTTACAACTGAAACATCTACTTAATGACAACAGGAGCATGTGCTGGGTCAACAGTCTTCTAACATACGCCACCTTTATTCATGGAAAAAAAACATTTTCTTATCTTATCCTGAACACATTAAAAAGTCAAATATAACGTTCAAGCTTACACCACAGGTTTTTCTTTATAGAGATGACCCACATCATATCATCATAGTTGTTTTTAATCAAATATTTGAGCAGGAAATGGCAGCTTTACTCAAATGTGTTTTGAGAAATTTGCGTATTACTCTCTGTTGCTGAGAGTTCGACGAGAAGATCAATACCACTCTCATGTCTGCACGGTAAACGTGAAGCTACAGTTAGCATCTGGTTAGCTTAGGTTAGCACTCAGGCTGGAAACACAGGGAAACAGCTAGCTTGGCTGCGTCTGAAAACAAACAAGGTCTGACATGTGACATTAGTAGATGCTGGTAGACTTTGCAACCTTTAGATTAGGAGGTTTTTTTCCCTGTTTTCTCTTGTTTCCACTCTTTATGCTAAGCTAAGCTAAGCTACCAGTGCTGTGCTTCGTATTCAAGGATAAGGAAAAAGTCTGAACTCCAAGTGATTTTCTGTGCTAACCAATCTACTTCTCTATTGACTGAAAATATGTTTGTAGATTTGATTTGAGACATGTGCTCCCCCCCCCGTTCGTCCCACCTTCCTGCATGAACAATGCGTGTGTGTTTTCTGTGTGTCCTGCAGACAGTATAGAAGCCAATGTCGAGAATGCAGATGTGAGTGTCCAGAGCGGCACGCAGCAGCTGGCACGTGCTGCAGAATACCAGGTAAAATTCAATAGGACATGGAGGGTGATGAACAGAAGAGAGGGAGGGCAGGCACACATAAAGAGGGATTGAGGAAAGGCACAAGGAGAGGAAAGGCATTCAAATGTATTGCGTAAACGTTAGAGAAGTTTTCTTGTAACTGGTGGACCAATTAAGAAATCTACAGTAAGCAAGACTGGCTGCTCTAGGTGTCTCTGGGGTAGCAGTGTATGACTCCTCCACCTCCTGCACAAGGACTCCCTTGTGTAACCGAGTTCTTAGTCAGTTTGTTTTGGTGACTGCAACTTAGAGAAAGAGGCGTAAAGCTGAAAATAAAAGAAAAAGCTGAGTCACAAGGTGATTCATGCAGTGGCTGTGAGTCACTTCAGACCATCAACCTGTCTCTCTCTAAATTCAGATTATATCTTACACTTGTTTATTACACGTAAAAAACATTTTGTTTCTTTTTTTCTCTCCCCAGCGGAGCTCCCGGAAGAAGATATGCATCCTGATGATAGTGTTGGCTGTAGCTGCTACCGTTATTGGACTCATCATCTGGGGCGCTGTCAAATCATGAGGGCTTCTTCTTCCTGTCCTCTACCTCTCCTGTTTAGTCATTTACCCGGAAAAAGGATGAAACACCGTCCCTCCTCTCTCCTCCTTATCTCACCCCCCCCTCCCTCTTATGAGGGGAGTCATCAAGACTTTCTGTCTTTCTTTGAGTTGATTATGATTTTAAAATATTGAAGTCCTTGTTGACAGGACCGCACACTCCTTCACTGTGAAAACAAAACTTGCTGGTAGCTTTATTGTTATAATCAGCTTCAATTGAATTATTAGTGTCTGATTTAGGTATGATTTACTTTGAAGAGGGAGGTGTAAACAAAGGTGGAGGATTGCTGTGTTCAGTAGCGGCCATGTCGGCTCCACTGGCTCTTATTGTTGAATTCAATTACAGTACAGACAATGCTTCTTGGTGCAATGAAGCGGCAAGTTGCTGCTAGGCGGGTAAGAGGCGATTAACCTTCAGGTCAGTCTCTTCAAGATGTCAATTTGCTGCAGATGCTTTTCTTTATCAGGTTAGATATGAAAAACCCACATGCTAGAAGATTATCCACAATGAAACCATAAATCAATTGCACTATTTAAATTTGGTAGTATCAAAAGCCAGCTCTGGTCCATAGTACAACGCAGCCAAACTACATTCAGTTTATACCCTCTTTTTATCTCCTACATTTGAAGTTTATGAATAATTTAAATTAATAGTTCATTTCGATTCAAATCCATGTCGTATTCTATTAATGAATAAAGAAAATACTGTACATACACATCCTAACTATATTAAACTTGACTATCAGTCATTACAGTTAGATTTTTAGATTTAGATTTTTGTGCAGATTGCTGCAAGGAGAGTCCACACACAAAGAATGTAAGTGCAATGTGTAGATTGTGAAGGTCATGTTATAGTTGTGTATATGTGTTTTATGGTTTGTTTTGACCTACAGTACTCACGGATGCTTCATGCAAAGGCCCTGCACACCACACTGATGTCTTCAATTATGTGATTGGTTAGACAGTTTGTATGTGGGGGCTTTACTCATAGAAAAGTTCTGATAATTATCATTATGTTTCTGTGACTGACAACAGTACATGTCGCTATAATCCTAACATGAAGAAACCAAACTTGAAGTAACCCAAAGTATAGTAAGTTAAAGCAAACACTAATAATTATTTGCTACAACTATTTCACCCAAATGTAAAATGATGATCACATGTATATTTTTAATACTGAGATTTAGCTGCCTACCATGTGCTGAATAAATTACCTGAATGTACTGGACCTCAAATGTGAAGAGTGATTTGTATTGAAGAAAAAAATTATGTGTTTCTTTTAAATTCAATTATAATTTACCAATTAAAGTGTATTACTCTTTTCTAACATAAAGGCAACTCAAATCTAAAGAGTTTCCTTAAAAGTCCACTGCATAATGTGTAGGAGAATTCTCTGCGCAGAAATTAAATATAATATTCATAGGTATCTTTTCATTAGTGTATAATCACCTGAACATAAGAACTGTGTTTCTTTTACCTTAGAATGAGACGTTTTATCTATAGAGAAAATTTGGCATGTTAAACTGCCATGTTTCTACAGTAGCTCAGAACGGACACTGGCCTTTTTGTGTTTTGTTGCCACCTTAGTTTCCCCTACACGTGTGAAAAGCAAGTAGTATTCAGTTGGTTGCAATCTGCAACCTCACTGCACACTGGTCCTTTAATTATTATACATGGCTACATTATTATCCAGTACAAATACAGAATATTAGATCTTTTATTTAAATAATCCCACATACTGCTCCTTCGAGTTAAACCTATTATACAGTGTTCCTCTAGTACTATATAGCATAATTGTTACAAAAACTGCACAGATTGTTATTCAATAGTTAGTTTTACATTCAAGGTTTAATAAATGAGAAAAACACCTGCAGGTTGCTTGATGAGAGTCAGTGGACAGGTCGCTTTGCATATCATTCAGTCCTTATTTATTTAACTGCAAGCTAAGTGACTCCAAAAAATCATTCAATGTCATTACCCTATTTTTTCGACATCACAGTACTATTCCAAAAGTGCTAGCTTGTCTATAGGAGACAGTTGATGAATAGCTGGTTGGCCAATCACTGCATTTTAGATGATTCAGGCGGGTTCATACTTGTTCAATGCAGGATGGACACTTTATTAGCATAGTTGTAACAAACCGTGTAGTATTTTTGAATAACAATCTGTGGTGACACTGAAGGTTAAAGTTACAGATCTGGGTTCGATGGCCTCTTTCTTATATAAGATCTTATTTATTTTGTGACCTTTGAATGCCCAGAGTTAGTGGAATTGTAAACGCAGCAGCTGCATAGATGACTACCTTTCTGACCCAGACATTTAACTCAGCTCCTTCAGTATAACTCTGTATCCACCAGTAGAGAACAGTAAATTTATATTGGTGGTGAAAACTTGCTGAACTCAAACAATCATTAATTGTATCTGCCCATGATGCAAGATCTTGTTCCTGTTTCTTGAGAAGAGAATGAACTCAGCATTTTGTGCATACAAGAACAACCTTAAAAGCATATAAATAAAAGAGGACCAATGAAAGATCCCTGCAGTAGGCCTTCACCTTTTGTTAAAACTGTTCGATTATAGTGAGTTATAAACACATTATGTCATCTCCTCATTTCCAGTTTGGACTGAAGAAAGTAAGTCTTAGGCAGCCATGATGATGAGATCAAGGAGCAGACAGGAGTTAGCTTGTATATGTCAGAACAGCCGGTGTTGGAGTTGGATTGGGATGTGGAAGTAACAGACTGCTGTGACGCAGAAGGCAAAAGTTTCCTTGGCGGAGAGAGAGAGAGATGAGGAGGATTTGGACACTGTGTTGTAAATACATCACTTGGGCAGAAAATGGGTTGAACTGGGCGTCAGTAGGACAGGGAGTATTCTGGGCTGGTTACACACACAGAAAGTAGCAGGTTGCTGCAAAGAGCTGAGCAGGATTTTCCTTCCAAACCAAAATGTCTCAGCTGAGGGGGAAGAGGAGAGTTTGACCGGGTAAAAAGTACTGCAAAGGAAGTTTGGTTTGGTTAGAGGTGGATATGGGAGCTTATTCAGGGTTTTGTTTTTTTTCAATTGACATGTCATTTCCTATTACATTTCTTTTACTGTGTGATTTCAGAAAAATGCAAAACAGCAATCCACGTCATTATAACAGACAGGTATCAAGGCTGAACTTGTTGGTGGAAGAAACCTGTTAAAATCTGTCCTATATAATAACATATTGTTTCTGGGGCACAGACGCTGTTTTTCTTTCCTGCTGATGTAGAAAATATAATATAATGACAGAAGTCGGAGTTGATGAAATAACTCATCTGGGCAAACAGTGAGCTCGCTGTCAGGTCTTTTGGGTACGTCATTAGAAAAAGGTTTGGAGGAAATAACAAGTTGCTTGTAGTTTTCCTTTCCATTAAGAAGCTGAAAAAGGCAGTTTTGAACTAATTTGTGTTTTTGTTTCATTACATGCCATTTGTGTTTATTTTTAGACCTGAGGAAGACTAGCAACCACATTATCAGAGGTTTATAATAGGCATACTATAAAACTACATAGTGGCTTTAGTTAAAGAAACCATTAAAGAAATATTTTTGACATATAAAGTTTTTGTAGGTTGATTAAATATACATTCACTATATATACATATTTGCTTTTACATATAGACAGTTGTACACAGTAATATAACTTAACTTCTAATTTTAATCACATCTTATACTTCCTGAGTTGTGCATTTGCTGAATGGTCATGTTTAAATTTTTAAAGTATATCTTCAAAGAAAGTAATTTCTGCCAGCAGGGGGCAGTGCTGGGCAGCTTACCACAACCCCCATAGTGTATACTGCATGTCCACAACATACCACTATGTAATGTTATCACCCTGTATTGGCATTATTGAAGGTACAGTTATACAATAGCCCCACAGTATACTGTAATTCAACCACTGTTTATAAGTGTACACAAATGCAAGGGGTAAACGTGTTATTAGAATAATATATCACACTATATAGTAATAGAATAAAACCAAGCTAAATCCCATTAGATCTTTAATGCAGCCAGTTAGGGCTTTGATCTCTCCAGAGTGAGATTTTTCTGGTCCGATCCATGTTAATTAGCTTAGATCAAAGTCCAGTCTGTCCTTAAAAGTGGGTGCTCGGTTTCAAGCCCTTCAGCAGCCACCGTGCAGAAGTGTCCTTGAGTGGGACAATGAATCCCTGCTCTGCTCTGGTGTGCAGATCAGCTAATAATAATTATCAGATAGAGCAGTAATAGCTCTACAGTAGTACATTATTTTTCCAACTGAAGTCGTGTTAGCAATAGCCTTGTCCTTGTCATAACTGAATCCTATTTTTAACCATCCTCTCTTCCTCTCATTTCTCCTCCTCTCTCCTGTCCTTTCCTCTCCATTACAGCACATCTACAGTGCTATCTATGAAGATGCCCTCACTATTTTTAGGGCTAGCCAAGGCACACAGGATGTCAGCACTCTTTCAGGACAATCGTGTTAATAGAAACTCCATTTACGTTAGGGTAATGGTGATCAACATATATTTGGATGGGTTACTAAAATTCTATTTGAAAAGTGTCCTGAGATAACTTCTGTTATGAATTGGCGCTATACAAATCAAATTGAATTGAACTGAATTAAAATTTGAAGAGTGACATAATTTGAGTGCTGTAGGGCACATTATCCTGAGTACTAATAGGTAATATGAAGGTTGCTAAGTCAGTTAATTAAATAGAAAATAAATTAAATAAGTTAAATTTAACCTCATTTGTTGGCCTGCTGAATACTGGACTACACTGTTTCATCATTGAGTATCAGTTTTATTAATATAGCGTCAACTTGTAACAGAAGTTATCTCTTCATATAGAACAGGCCTATTTACAGAGACCCAAGAAAGTATTGTCTGAGTATCACACCAGTCTTAAGATTGCATCCGACTTTTTAATATTCCATGAATGACTAGTAACTAAATTATCAATAAAGCATCAACGCCTCTGCAGATCTGATCAGTGCCACACAAAGTTAAGTCAAACCATTAAAGTCTGTGTAAATGAGCCTGTGTTGTTGGCATCTTCAAGACGTATCTGTAACTGAGCATCCCAGTCTCCATGCATGATGCCTAACTTATAATCCTCAGGTCTGGTCCAGAGCCCTAGAGGGCAGCATTCCTCCCAGCAGCCCAGGAATGTAAACTTACCTTTGGAGTCCAGCTTGTGTCCAGCAGGAGGAATGCAGAGTGTTTGCTGTTAAAATGTCCTCTCTCTGAAAAGGAATATGTAGGGGGAAAAAAAGTCATAAATAAAGATGTGGTAGAGCTGGCACTGGTGGGATGACAACTGGCACTAGAACAGAAAAACATGCTTGCGGGTAAGGGGGTTTTTTAGATTTAGAGGCTTCTGTGTATTCTGGTAAATATTGATGTTTTTCTGAAGAGGAAGTAGCTCTCAGTTATGTGACAGGATGTTCCACAGTGAGAGGAAACCGCTGCACTCACCTGCCGTTTCAAAGTTTAAATTCCAAGCTCGCACGCTGAAGAAAACCCTGAACACACCTGTGCCGAACTGTTTATTCCCTCTGCGATGAAAAACAAACAACTAACATCAAGGAAGAGCAGATTTTGAACTTGGACAGCCTCTCATATTTAAGCCTACAGCGGGTAACTTAATATGTTGGCGGCTGCTGCTGGGAGCATAGTGGTAAATGTCGAAAAAACTTCAATAACCAGGAACCATGTGATGTGATGTCAGTAAACAGCATTCAGCGTGCTCATATTTACTAAAGTGCCTGGTCAAAGGACCCCAAAGGAGCGAGAAAGCCAAGACATCTATATATGATATGATTTGAAGTGTCCAACCTGTATCACATCTGCAAAAAAAACCTGCAGAAAAAATGAATTAGTAAAGAATTATGGGAATAAGACCTTGTTCTTGCAGCCTCAATTCGTGCCTCGTGCAATATCTAGTAGTGTGCCACCACAGATCTGAGTTTTTTCAGTTCTGATTAAGTATCTCTAAAGCTGCACTAATCAATCAATGGATCAAATGACTATGTGTAATGTGTGGGTCGTTCATAGTAATGAACCTTCTGAGAATCATCACCCGACTGTAATTCCCCCTCAGCCCTACGGAGGCTTTTAGCGTCTCTCAACTCACTGTTTTGGATTTCGTCCTGGTACTGCACTGGTTTTTCCTTCACGCCCAGCAACAAACAGCCGACAGACAAAGTTAGCAACTACCTGGGGA